TCTTCTGGCCCTGTCAAGTCCTCCTTCAATCTGGGAGTCTGAGCAGTCGCGTGGAGGTTGACATGATTGCCTTTAAGCAGCCCCTCTTAGCCAGTGACACACAGCTGCAGCCAGGCACCTCTTCTGACAGTAAGAGCACCATGATGGATTGCCTTGCCAAAACTGCTGATCAAAGAAGGCCAAAGTTCAGATGTGTGTCTGGCTGCGCTGGGGATGTACAATCACCAGAGATTGCTTTTCCTCAAACATCTGAGTGTAAGGCTGAATTTTTACTTCGCTGATAGCTGCCTGATTGAGCTGCATAATCATTATGTCATTAATAATTGGGAATTTATCAAATAATAAGAATGAAGAATAAGAATGTTTGAGTTTATTGATCCAGAGGGTTCAGCTGAGCCTCAAAATCATAATAAAGTACAAGCATCATACTTGACACTATGCCAATATTGCAACAAATACTGCTTACTCTTTGACCGGTATTCATACACATCATTAATACACACAAAATAACATCTTTGCGCTGCAGAAGCTCTCTGCTGAAAAGCACAGACACTTAAAAGTTTCTGACATGTGTTGCGCTACCATTGAGACACTGCCACTGATGTAGGTGGAGCTGACAGCGTCCCAGACATTGAAGATGGCTCTGGGACATACCAAGTTTGGTATGTGTCAGCTCTCATTGTTGTCAGGATTCATGCTAAGTGAAGGAATATGTAAACAGCATCATTAAAAAGGGAATTCATTTGAAAAAATGTTGGGGTGGAGTGACGTGAAAATGTTTTTGATTTTTGCCCTCCCTCTCCTTACAACACTAGATGACATTAGGTGGGTGAAATTATCCAGATACTATAAACCATTTCATGAATAGAATATATTACATGCATTAGTAATTTTGAGTGTATGTACTCTTCATGTATTTGAATGATTGGATAAGGCAGAAAAGAAGTACCACTACTTCCAACCATGCCAGAAATCAAAAGTGTTTATAGTTCCTCCTAATGGCCACACGCAGGCGGAGTGAAAAGCATAGAGAGGGGGGAGACATGATATCGTTTAAATATGGGGATAACTGATGGCACATATTTTCAGACAGTGACTCCTGCAAGGCATTCACAGTGCTTCACTTAGTTGTACATATAAAAAATGTCAGAAATAGTTGTGTAATGAACGAAAAAAGATAGCTAACCCAGCCTTTCTCCCCTCCGCATAGCTGGCCAATCACTGCGTGAAGTGGTTGTAGATGTCGGATTGTTGGTTTTGGAAAATTACAGAATTCGTCTGACCCAATCCCTCCCCCCAGTCCATGTTGGAAAGGTGTGGTCAGGGGGCTTTCTGAAGCCGTTGCATTATCCCACAGGAACTTCTTATGAAGCATACTGGTATCTTAAATATAAATAAGTGTAGATTTAAGTGTGTCTGAATGCTCAATAAATGACCTAACGAGCAATTCCACAGTGTGGGGCTTGAATTCTTTAAGATAACTCAACTGAAGCATTCCTATCTAAATATCCTGCCTGGAGTGGGAGACTTTTGCAGTTGAGGTGACCAAGGAGTCTTATTTCTTATTTCAGATTTTCATTAGTGACATTTATCACTGAGAGGGAAGATGGTATAATTAGCTTGTCAGTCTACTTTAGGCTGAGCTGGCGCTCTTTGTGAAGAAGAATGGACTGCAAGCCCAAGGAGCTGACAGCCAGTCGATAATGTGGCAATTAATGTCATAAATAATTCTGAAGCCAATTATATTAAAATGGACTTCAGCCTCTAAAACAGCACTTTATTTCCTATCATTTTATGATGTGTTCAGGTATCGAACAGCAGGGGCAGATTTTCTTCTTTATTTCTACATATGGCTGACATATGGCAAAGACATAATGTGTGGCATAAAAATCAGAAGGGCCATGCAGGAGATTTATTTCTTGATTTAGTTTGCTTTTGACTTACAACTGTCTTCGTTATTGCTGAAGCATCACCTGTGGTAAAAGGCAAATACAAAGTGTAAAACCACTTTTAATCAAAATGATATTGCCTCCATGTTGCAAGCTGTATAAAATGTCTTCAGCTCTTAAAGAATGTGAGTAATTTAATGGCAGTAGTGGTTAAATATATCAAATGCTCCTCCTGGCCTTGGGAGGGTCAAGCCCAGAGTGATATAGAGAGAAGACCGTGATGGCTGAAGGTCGTGTCAGCTTCTTCTGCATAATGCATGAATCTCTCTGACTCCAATCTTCTGAACCTGAACCTTGGGATGAAAATTTTACTAAGTAAATCAGCAAGCATGCTGGCATTTCTATTAACCTCCAGTGTGGAACTGACAGAAACATGAATCATGGTAAATAATATCTTGCAAATTGTAAATCATGTTTACAACTTGGGCTGAGAAGTGATGTTATGGGATACTGCCATCTGTTTGCTATTTGTTACTGCAAATTTCTTTGCACAAAAGCAAAAGAGAGGGTGTTTTAATTGTGTAAAATTACAATTTAGCATGACAAATTTGGGAAAACACTGATTGCTGATGCTGAACCAAATTCTATTTACTGCAAGCATTTATTTCTTACACCAACCCACAATAATGTATCTAAACACAGATGGTATTTTATCTTGTGCCATATTAAAGTGTCAATATTCTATTATTATACAGGTTATATTTTGTTTTTGATGAGTGGTATTTCCCACTTCAAAGATGAAAATAGCCAAGAGCTTTGATTTATGCATGCATGAAGTGAAACAAAAGAAAAGGAAATGTTGACCTTTACAGGGAACATAAAGGGTCAGTGCGGCAACTGTGCCTTACGGGCAAATTGCCTACCAGTGCTGGCAATCTGTCCTTACAACACAGATGAAATTCTTATCTTTTGCTATTTGTTTTCTGCTTCTCCGGTAGAAATGTGGAGAGGCACAATATCTCTTTTTGTGTACAATACATTTCGCAGCAGGCAACCTGCAACAAATGAAGTGACAGAAATGTTAGCAGTAAAGTTTTCTTAAATTTAAATAAGATTCTGAGAAATATTCAAGTGGTGACACTGCGTGCAAGTGTACAAGCTTTCCTGCCGTCTTTCATTTCTGTATCAAAGGGTAACCTAATGCAAAATGTATATGGCCTTTGGCACAAAAGATGGTGGTGTGGCTCGGTACACGCAGATCTGTGTGCTAAAAGCTTGAAACATCTGTGTAAACACATGGCCTTTTTCCAACCATATAGACAATGTTCTCATAGCCTTAAGATAGATGTCCAAGGCAGTATACCTTGCCCTGGGGCCATACTGGAATGGCTTTGAACATCTGAAAAACCTTGAGCTTCAAGCAATGTCCACTTTCAATATCCCAGCTTTATAGCTAAGCATAGAAGAATTCAACCCATGGCTTTTATTTGACTCTTTGTTGTTCTGAGAATTGGATCAATCATACCAGTGCAGAGTGGAAATGTTTTGGAAATGATAAAAATACAGAAGTTTTAATGATGCAGTGATATCTGATAAGGGTGTTTTTTTTTTTTTGCCAGAAAATTTTCACATTTAAGGGATTTTTTAATATAACAGTGTTTGGAAAGGAAGAGACAAACAGAACAAAAAAGAGAGGACTTTCTGCCTTTGTTGTTGCTCTTTAATTCTGTTAATAGCCCGAGGTAAAGATTTATCTGCTCTTGTCAATTTACCTCAGCCTCAATATAAAGCACCAAGGTCACTTTTTCCTTGCCTGGCCCACAGGATTAAATTGTCATGTCACTCTAATAGGCAGCACAGGGAATCATTAGTCCAGCTCAGCTGCCTGACTGATAGGCATTTCAGTCCAATCATGGGAGTGTGCTGCCACAGGCCAGCCAGTATTGACACTGTGTCAGGACTGAGAGGGGACGCCTTAATCAGCGAGGACACTCTCAACATTGATTTGACAAGCTGCCGTAATGACCCCCTTGTTTTGGTAAAGGATCACTGTTTATCCAGGCTGGCATTGATGCACTTGGAGTGCTGCATTGTCATGGAAACTATTATCACCAGCCAAGCCTGTGTAGCTGGACAAGAGTTGTGTTCAGAAGGGACCATGGATTTGTGTTTATGTGTGTATATACATGCACATACCAGTGTGACTGGGGCACTGCATGGTGTAACTTGTAACTCAAAAGGTGGAGAGATTTCCTAGAAGCAGAAAATTATTTTTTTTCAGAACAGATGTTAACAGACACATTTTAATTCATTACTGGACTATGATATCTTAAAAATATATTACATATGTTTTAAATTAAGTTAAATTTAAACTTACATACTTAATTGTAAAGAATGTAGTTCTTCATTATTTCAGTTTCAATGAGAGCTCAACTAATGTTAATTCTTTTAGCTTCATGAGCACTGTTGCAGTTCTGTGGAACATGATGTCTGAAGCACCAGTAGACTGAGAGGGATTTTAGAAGCCAGAGCCCATTTCTAATTATGCTCAGTACATCACTGTATAGAACCTTTATTTAATCCATTAAATACAGATTTCCTTATACTTGATACAGTAATAACAGTATTTTTTTGTTGTGATGGCTACATGTGTTTGTTTCCTAAGAAGGTGACACTGCTGCTGGCAGGGAGATCAGGGAAATCAGCGGCTTCTCTGCGAGGTGTTAAGTCTGTAAATATTATTGGCATGCTGACAGTCTCCCACAGTGCCATGGTGTGTAAAATCATTAACAAGCAACATGATGGGCTCTCTCCATCCTCAAGGTGAGAATGTGAAGAGTGTTTTTATCAGCCATTATCCAGAGGGTGCACTGAGGTGTCCTGTGTCACATCACATGATCAGAATGGCAATCAGAAAGTGCCTTATGTCATCACACATTTATATCATTCTTTATATAAACAGTTTATCTTTGATGGACAAATGTGTAAAATGTATCCTACAGTTGCTATATAGTAACATTTTCAGTGCTGAGCATCATGCCCAAACAGTAGCCATTCAGGTACTGTAACTTCCTAGAAATGCCTGGGGAAAATAAACGACAGGACATACTGTAGAACACAATACATCAGCTTTTAATTTGTGAAAATACAAAATGAAATCATGTACAATTTATGTACAAGCCTATTTGTACAAGACAATAAACTGTATTTATTATTGGGTATTATGACATAGTCAGAAAATCAACTTAGCACTGTCATTGTATCCACAAGTCATGTGCTAAAAAAAATATCACAAAATAATACAAACTAGACTGCAATGCTGAATGTCTCTATACCCCACAGGTACTGTCTAACAAGAACACACTAGAAAGAAATATTTTACATTAAGCTTTAAAGATTTCTTTGAAGAGTACATAAAAATTAATTGCAGAAGGATCTGCTATTGACCATGGGTCATTTAAAAATTGTTTTAAGACTTCAAATTATTTATTAGAGTTCTAGTTATCTTCAGGGAATTACAGCCTCATAATAACAAATTCAACGATGCATTTTTAAAAGAATGGTCTCTAAGCTGGCAAGATGGAAAGCAAAGAGTACATTTCTCAGTCTCACAGCAAAAGTGAATTTGTGCTCAATCCAGCTAAACTAGAAGCCTCTTTTCGCAGCAGTGGGTCTTCTGGAGTCCTCCCTTGGCTTCGGCACTGCCTGGCACATTACTGGCACTGAGGAATGGGCAGTTTTGATGCTCTCTGTGCCAGTAAAAATGTCACAACCTCTCTCTTTTCACATCCAACATGTATCCTTGGCTGGACTGTGACACATCCTCTGTGGATTAAGGATTTTAAGGATTGCTTGGGTTGTTTTTTTTAATTTTTATTAACTTTTCTTTCCCCTTCATTGATTCTGATGTAAAATGACTACAGTGCCAATATAGCTATGTTGTATTATTTAAATAAGACAAGATTAATAACCACTATTAGCTCTGCATTCTGGTCTCATGCTCTTACAAACTGAAACAAATGACCCGTGTTTCATTAGACGTGTGGACATTATATCGGATATGATATTGATCACCAAGATGGTTTACGAACAAAATAGAATCTATCAGAACACAAAAATAGCCAAAATCACTTTTTATGATAGAGCTGTTTTTCAAGTATCTAAAAAATATGTCATGTCAGGCATGAACATGTCTGATTATGGCATTAAGATTGGTCATGGAGTACATATAAGCACTTAATGGCCTCCAAGACAATCCTGTGTCAAGCAGTGCTTATAGCCAAAGGAGGACTTAAAGATGCCCACTTCATGCGATATGTGGCTTTCACATTCAACTAAGCTACAGACTTTTAATAGGGTGCCATGCAATATCATAGTATTTGGCTTTACTGTCTATTGTGTCTTAAGTAAATTATTAGATCTGTCACTTTTAGAAACTGTGTGAGATTTTTGGTTATTTTCTAATATACAAAACAGCTCCATCATATTTGGCTATTGATAAAAAAAAAGAAGAAAAGAATATTCCTAAAGTTTTTACCCCTGGAGAAATGTTGCAGATACTCAAAAGCTTTACTTATTAAGATTTCTGGGGTTTTGGACATTGCAACCAGACAGTGACATGAAAACATTAACAACAAACGACTCAAAAAGGCAAAGATAAGACAAATATAAATGGATAGAGATAAGGCTGGAGCCAAATGCCATTTACACATGGACACTGGCCATCTTAACTGTCACAAATGTTGTGAATTAGCTCCAAATGGCAAAGGAATCACTGAGAGTCAGTCACTTAACGCCATTGTGGTGGGACTGCAGCTGGATGTAAAATACACATTTTAACATACTGTACAGAATACTGCAACACTGGGTATAATAAATGCAGTAGTAGTAGTTCTTCATCAACAGCTAAAAAGGCAACTTTTACAATTGCAAAACTTGATCAAGTTATCATAATAATCCCCTCTTGTAGTAGTACTTTGAATTTTTACATTGCTGTTCTCCTTCAAGTGACCCTCATTCCCCAAAATGGAACAAAAAAGTCATGGAGTCTGGTCACCACTAAAGATTAGCTGCACAAGCTAATAGATGAGTGGTTGCGACGTTTGGCCATGATTGTCTTCATGTATATTTCATGTACGTTTCTAAATCTGCTTGTACAATAGGCTTGCTGCATATGTGAATGAAGAAAGCAGTATGGTTTGTCCCTTCTAATGTTAATGGATGATTTGTGTTTGAAGATGAGAAGATATCCTGAGTCCCAGTCCGACACCTACACACTAAGTCTTCTGGGAAGCATTCAGGTGTCAGTGCAGTTCTGGAGCTCAGCACTCGTCTTCTGCTTCTCTGATGGGTGGAGTCAAGCTGCTTGTGGATTTATACTGACTGACTTGGTTGACGGCGAGTGTATTCACAGGCTTGATCTGTATGGTCCTCAGGTGGGTATCCTCTGGCTCATCTGTAAACCATGTCTTTTCTGAGAAAGAGCGAAAATCATATAGAGACAAACAGGAGGGACATCAGACAGTTAATGCTACATGGGCATCAATTACTGTTTCAGTGTTTGTTTATGTTTCAGGTGCACACAGAACATTGGGAGGGAATTGTAGATTTTAAAAGAAATAATCGTTTGATATTGAGTTTGTAGGAAGAAATTCTGACATGATAATAATATGCTTGAAGATAGTGGGTTTTTTTTAATGGCAGGTTAGTATCAATTGTTTTCACCTCTGTAATGTCAGTCATTTCATGGCCAATTTAGTTTTTTCATATATGCCATACTGCTATTGAAGCATACTGTTTTGTTGGGTCAACAGACATGCAGATCACCAGTTAAACAAAATCTGTTTTAATGTGTCACTGTAGCAAATTAGAAGTTAATACTTTTAACTTCACAATTCATATTGTCAGAAGTTTTTTAATCAGTTTGAAGGGCTTCAGGCTTTTGGCTTGATGCAACTTTTTTTTTCTTATACAAAAGAAATTGATAGTCTGGCATAATATACCGCTGGCCGTTCATCCACTTGGCAAAGTCCATGGTCATGCATTTTCATTAACATGACTTAAGGCTGTGGTGCTACAGTACATTAACATATGTGCCAGTAGATACATGTTGCCAATAATAAAACATCAAACACTTGACACAGAATAAGGTGAAGTAGCATCAAACCGGTCAGTTACAATCACAGGTTCTACTTTATAGTTCATAACCATGCGGTCCTGATGCAGTCATTTGGACACACTAAACTACTTGGCTTTCATTCAAAGGGCAAAATGTCAGCAAGGACATGACCGTGTTCAATGCATTATACATCATGCATAATCATTCACTTCCATACCTTGGCCCACTCTATTCATCCTTGATGCACTTTGGAAAAAGAAAGTAGTACACTAAATGTAAGCTAAATGGAAAATACTAATATGACCGTTAATATAAGTGGTATAAAAACAACAGATGCTCTCATTACATATGGATGTAGATTAGGTTAAACAGTATGGTGCGACCAACAACTCAACAAAAAATAAAGAAAAACAGAACATGTATCATGTCAGAAAATCTTGACGTGCCTACTGTGCATCTAGCCACTGTAGCATGTGTGAAGCAGCCATATTGTGTCCATGCTTGTTGCCAAAGGAATCAGAATGATGTCGTCCATGTTTTAGATGTAATTCAGAATCCCAGTGAGCAGCATGCAGCTAACATACCAAATGTTTCATATAATGGACTTAGACCAGCACAAAACAAGAGGTTGCAGCAACTTCATGTAGAGGTAAATCTGATTCTGTAAAATGTGCAAATTAAAGAATTTGTGCAGCTTTACATGTTTTTATTTCAAATGGGCATATATTACTAACCATAGAATGCTTGTAGTATTCATTCAGCAGCTGTGAAAATGTAACACGTGCTCATTCATTTTTTCAATGAACAATCAAACAATATTTGAATGTTTATATTTTCCAATAACAACAATATTATATTGGAAAGTACTTAGAGAATGCATACCTCTGCCAGTTCTGCAGTATCCTCTAAATGTGTTTACTAAAATATGTTGTAGATATTGTAGCTAAAATACACAAAACAACAATAATGCTTATTAACTCATAGCAGCCAGAATATTTAGGAAAAACCAACATCTGGAAATACTGTTGTACAGTAATGTAATAAGTTATGGCCATTTAAATTAGTCACGATGCTTTATTACCAACGTCAAAATGCCATGCTCCTGGATAGTGTTTGAATTGTTTAATTTTCTGGAGTTGCCCAGGGTCGGAGGCACCAGGTGGATTTGGTGATACTCATGGACCTCCGCTTGAGCACTTCTGTGTTTTTGATTTTTTCCCCCAAAATGAGTGTCTACATATGACTGCAAAGATGAAGGCTCAAACTGTTCTGTGTGTGTCTGAGTCTGTCCAGCAAACAGTATTTTAGAATTCCCAGCCTTCTTGGAGTCTCCAGTTCGGGTCCCATATAGGGTGTCACCTGATGAAGACACCATATTTTTGCTGGAGGCCTTTAAGGCTGAGGTGGAGGATCCGCCTGCCCAATCTAAACCCGGGTAGTGCTTTTTTACTTCTGTGCTGTCCATGACAACATATATTTGAGTATTGGGGGTGGTGATGCGCAATGGATAAGACACCTGCATTTGGTGTGAGAGAACCGGGTTCAATTCCCCACTGTGCCTGCCAGACAGACCTTATAAACCCAAATGCAAAGCTTTGGTGAACTGGGAACATCTGACTTAAGTTCCTATACACAAAGTCTGACTGGAGAGAAATTTCCTGCATTAAGGGGGCAGTTGGAGGTCATGTCCAAAGCTTTGCAGAAACAGCAATAAAGGGAGCTTTACATAGAGTTATGGCCCGAATGTCATTGGTGTCAACTCAAGAGCCCACCGTTAAACACCAGTGGTAAAGGAAGTCTCCAGGAGGCTTTTCAGGATTGGTTTGCCTAGCGGATTCCTTAATTGACAGAAAGGCCAGGATGACTGCAGCTTATGTGGTTGCAGGTTTGGGAGGCCATGGTGGAGGACTTTTATTTAGCCTTAAAATAAACCATCAGACAAAACTGTTCTCAGCAGGGGAGGAGGACAGCTTACTTCAACTTTTGTTTTCAACTTTTGTTAAACTGTTGAAACAAACTTTGAGGAACTGAAACCCAAATGAACAACCCTCAGGTGAAGAGGCAACACTGAAAGCCTTAATAATTGTTTATTGAGTTTATTTATTTTTTCAATGCACCTCTTCAATGTCATATGGCAGATGGTGTGTGGGCCCCCCTTTTGAATAAGGTGACCTGAAAGTGTGCTCCAATTATTGGGGTATTGCACTGCTCATCCTCCCAAGGAAAACTTATGTTAGTGTGGATTCTGCCAGGCTGGATTCCCTCCTGCTCGTGGAATAATACACAAGCTCTTAACTCAGGAATACTAAAAGGGTCATGGGAGCTTGCCCATCCAGTCTGCATGTATTGCAGGGACATGGAGACTGTTTCCCTCTTGGTGTCTTGGAGATACACTGACTATGAAGTGCTGGGGCTCTTGCTATGAGGCACTCGGTTCTTGCATAACTGGAGTGAAAACTGAGGCCCAGCCAAAGATTTGACATGCTATAGATTTTGTTTGTGGTTTTCATGGAAAGAATCTATAGGTGCCGCTGAGGAGTGGAGATTGTTTTTGTTTGACTTCAGAACTAGATCTCTGCCTTTTTGCCAATGATGCAGCTCTCTTTGACTGTTTGTAAACCATGGCCTTCAGCACACACTGGGATAGTTTGTACAGAATGTGAAAACATTGTCCAGTCTCTGGTAAAAATGTTATTACTGGTAATCCACTAAGTACGAATAATGATGTTCACATGTGAAGACAATGTAATTATAATGGTGGTGTACCTTTATTAATAATGGTAGCATCTTCTACTTGTAAATATCTTGACATAATTAATACTCCATGATGGCAAATAACATGAAAGTATAGCATTTGAATGTTAATGGAAATCGAAAGGCATTAAGAGGATTTGAGTACTTCATGACATAATATGAACTTTTAAGACATGGAATTTAAAGTGCGGTTCAAGTACAATAAGGTTCAGCTTAATTTAAACAAAACAAATACAAGTTCCAACAGAGCAAACTTGGAATGAAGATGGAGAGACCCAGTGACCTGTATCACAGAGGTGAGAGTTCTTAACACAAGAAAGCAAAGTACAACTAAAAGTCTAAAAATATTTGCTTACTCCTACTCTGTACTCTGGTTTTACTGTATATTGTGTTGGCCAATATCGCACAAAAAAAAAACATTTTAATCAAGATGTCATCATCCCAAACTGGAAGTGTTTTAATCATGTGTCACCTGTGTGTGCAGTAAGAACAAATCATTTTAAATGATGAAAAATTTGAAGATCTGTGTACGTGTCTCAAAGTTTACTATTAACAAAATGTTATCTGTTGATTCAGACATATATATTATACCTTATAACTGCAGAGGGCTTTTGGATGGGGTTCTAAAATTGTGCCCTTTGGTCGACAGCGAAGAAATAAATTCTACGTCATAATAAAAATGTCATTTGAAAATCATTACCCCAATAATGACAGAATTTCTCACAACCCTGGTAAAAGTGTACTGTAGCTTTTAGCATAAAAAAATTCAGAAGTATGGTAACAACCAGTGGATTGAAACAAACCATGCGGCTCCCAGGAAAAACAGAAGCCCTTTGTGGTTGCCCTACTCCATGATGTGGCCCTGCTCACGGGGCAAACCACACTATTTTGTACTGTATGGGGTTGTTGAGTGCAAACTAAGACATACAACACATACATACACCATCAGACAAACATACACACATAGACACCCAGACATTTTACAGTCTGTCTGGACCCTGCAAAAGGACACACAGGACAGTAACTGTTGGCAGGCACTGTTTACGGACAAAGACAGTCAGAGAGCTTTAGAGGGGCACATACTTTTGTTTGTCTCTCGAGTCCCTGCTTTTAGTGCGGTTGGTGCGGTTGGTGGTTTGGATAGAGTGGACGGAGGAGCTCTTTTTGCTGGAGGAATGGGATGAATGTGAAGAGTGGGAGAGGCTGGTTCGAGACTGGCCAGCGTTGTGGTCAAACTGCATCAGGCAGAATATCAGGTCTGAGGGCACCAGCTCAAACGCATATGGTGGATTGGTTATGACATACCTAGAGGAGAAAGGGAACAGATGGGAAGCCAGTTGTAAATTTAGTGTATGTAGAAGTGAAAAAGTTTTTATGCCTTTTTTTGTGTGTGGCTCTTTTGAGCATATAATTACACATCAGGTCCATACTCACCGTTTGGTACATTGGTTCTGATTGTTTAGATGTGCGTCTCTTAACCGATAGATACCAAAGCACAGCATGTTGTATGTTTTCAGGGCTTTACAAAACAGGTCACCATAACAACCGCCATCCTGCAAGACAGTGACAAAAACAAAAAACTCTTGACAGTGCTGACCTTTGAGGGAATAATGGAGAGCTGGAAAGTCCAAAATGCAGGAAGCTATCTTGACTTATCAATTTTACTTAATTATTCTCTGTCTGAGTATAAACTGTTCCAAGAAAGTGGTTTTCAGACAGTGTCTTTATTGGAGTCTTTATTGAACTGTGTTAACTTATTTTCCTGTTAGCAACTGAGCAAATGTATGAATATGAAATGTAATATTGCTGGGATGTTTTTCTCTAAGTGCCAATAGACTTATCTTAGGATGACAGGATTGGATTAAAACTCTAAAATTCATTTTCACAGAGCTCACCTATTTTTAGACATACAATCCCTGTTACTCTGAATCCTTCCACAGCTCCCACAACACAAGCAGACAAAGATGTGCTTAGCCTATGGGTGACAAGATCAGTCACTTACCCCAAGGTCTGCAAAGGGCCCGTCGTACAAGGCCAGCTGTGCCACACGACACCTGTCCCTGTTCGCCAGGGTCTGTGGCGTGCTGTAGCCGCCTCGTAATGCATTCTCCTCTGCCAGCAGCCCCTCCAGCTCTGGCGTCGCCCCGCCTGTTACCAGCGTCCGGATCAAGGTGAGGATATTATCATTGAAGTATGTCTGAGGGAATGAAGGTTGAGAGGGGGTAAATCCTTAAGCAGTCGCCACCAAAGTCACAACTGAACCTTCTCAAGTGCCAGCCAGGCCGAATGGGGCTATGTAAACCTGCTCTGTTGCTGTCACATTGAAATAATTCAGTTACTGCAGGTTACTCTCACACTCATCAAAGAGAAACACGGGAAGTCCATGTATACATTCATGCTGTCCAGGCATTGTCTTAGGGCTAAACATCAGACAATTATTTTAAAAAATACAACTTAAAGTTATCGTTTTTAATTTTAAAAAGGGCAAATATCTGCCCTTTTCTTTGCACCGCAGTCTATTGTCTCCCCCTGCTTGTACAGCACAGTGACATGTCCCTTGGCTGCTGACAGGACTATCTACTAAAATGATGGATGAGGGCTGTCTATTAGGTAGCATTACCTTTGTCTTGACTGGAGCACACTTGAAGGCAGCTTTGTTCTAACCTCACTCAAACTGAAAGGCAGACAAGTGAAGCCATCATACCTAGTACAAGTTCCAGCCTTGTCATCTATTGTTTTAACGTGAGTAGAGAGTGCCTACATTGTTTGGGAGGGGCAGAGGCATTCTGCTCACTGTTCTGATATCAAAACACAAGATTTATTTGCATATTTCAGATCACTGACAGATATTATATGTCACTACACAAAAACCTCAATCATAAGCTAATATGTTAAGTTAAATCAATTCTGACTTACAGCACTCATTAAGGAATCCAGCACACTGACTGCGAAGGCTGTCCCACATGCAAAAGGCTGAGTGAGGTATAACTCTGTGTCTGGGTCGTCATCATCATCTTGGTCCAGGAACTGAACATTCGAGTCATTCACTGTGGGGAAACATGTAAATTTCTTTCTTATTTTTAAATTCTTCATTTTCTGCACTACAAACCAGATCTTATGGAAAGCATGGATTGTGGGCTTAAGCATACTTTAGGCAAATACTCGATTGACATGAAAAGGAGGACACAAAAGTACAGTGGTTTGTGCACAACAGTGAGTACCTGCAGATATGGAATGTATTAGAAATCTGTATATGGTTTGACAAATTCTCCTTTTCTTGGATCCAAATTTGGACAAAATTGTTGTTTTTTTTAAGCGACTGAAATGAAACCAACTTGCCTCTGCCACATTCCATATCCAGGCCATTCATGCACACTCATGACGCCATGCATATTGTCAAAGCTCCAGGCCTTGATTCAAAGTCCTCCTGAAGTCAATATCAGTAACACCAATATGCCATTGTTTGTCTTGTAAATCCAAGACAGAACTTCCAATTACTTGTACTTGCATGTCAAAACAAATGAAAGTATCTCATTGCCCCAGAACCTTCTTTGAAGATGTCTGAGCACAAACACACATGCAGCAGCTGGAAGAAAGTAATGATGTAAAATTTAGTTGGAGAACTGCTACTTCTGTGAGGACAGAAATAAATGTCAGTCATATCGACAGGGCTGAGATGAAAGAAGTGCACGGGCCAGAGAATGTGATCCGACAGAAGATGCTATGAAAACAGCCACAAGGACTTCTGAGGGATCAAAGGCCCTGTAATTCTAAGAAAAATAAAAGGAACATTTTTGAGATAAGGGGCCAAAACAAGTCAGGCAATTTCAACCAGAACCAAGGGTAAAATGTGCTCAAAGTGATGCCATGGGAATGGACTGAGCCGCTTGTGCAGCGAGAGAAATAAAAAGAAAGCTGATATGGAGGCAGCAGCAGTTACAACACTGCAGTACAGGACACAGGCACTTCTTACCCAGCTCAGTTATTATTTGTATGCTGGTCCCACTGCTTTTATCCTGACTGAATGAAATCACAGGCAGTTTTTTGCCTGGCTTTGCTAATGGTGCTAGACAAGTGTTGAGGAAAAAAAGTTACTGGAGCATGTCAACAAGGGACAAAGAAAAAACATAAAAACTCCACTTTTAGTACGGTTAATCAAGTGTTGACAGCCTCTAATTGCAGAAATTGTGTTTTCAGATCTGTTAACAGCTACATAACTGAAAAAACATGCAACAGTAGAGCTAGCATATCAATCAACTGACACAAATATACAGCAGCAAGCATACCTAGTTCTGTTATGATGGGAATATTTGCTCCAGTTGTGACAGAAGTCTGCCTTACTAATCCATGGACTGGGCTGTTTTCAGGAGAGGATCTATCCATCCCTGGTGGTGTGAAGCCTAAATTGACACACACACACACACACGCACACATATAACATAAAGTACATCTATTAATGCAGTATTCAATACTTCATCAGAGGCTGCAAACAGGCATATCAGCAGAACAAATACGCTGGGGCTATTTCATCCATTCCCAGCCAGTGCTAAAGCATAAAGTTGCTGAGTGCGATGGTGCCGTATTCTTGACAAGGTCTAATATTAGTCCATATATAATAGATGTGACATACTGCTCATTTTGTTTTCCTTAGATTGTGTGTGCATGGAGACGGAAACCTTTTACACACACACACACACACACACACACACACACACACACGCACACAAAAGCATGTACAGTATGGAGCCATGAAATAGAAAATAAGTGACGCAAGATTGAATTCAAATTGACTTGACATTCGTTGCTTTCCTCAGACTGACAAGTAAGCATATTAAATCAGTGATGCTGTATGTATTATACATACGCAGTGTTTTGACATCCATCACTTACTGCTGAATAAGGCAAATGCGAGGTCATACATGTGTTAGAGAAATAATGAAATTGGCAGCGATTTTTTTTCTGTCTCCTCAGGTCAAAAGGTTTCTAAAAGCATTTCTTGACCATTATTGAAAGCCATCTCAAGATAACTGAGTGCTTCAGTTGCTGTTTTGAAAGCTGTAACATGCAATATTCATAAATTACACATTATATACACATTATATATATTTTTCCTATATACTGAAAAATTTTAAGAAAAGTGTGTAAGCCAGTTAAGGCTTTTGTGCCAATGCTGTGCTTGTTGCCACCAATTAGGTGTGTGGAGAAACCAGTTGTTACAGTAACCTGAGGAATAGTCAGTAGGGTTTACTGTCAAACGCAGTGACACCAGGTCAGCCAGGCAGCACCCAGTGAGGGATATTTTCTGTGCCAGGGCCCTGTCCCTTCCAGGCGGTGCAGTGAACTATGATAGGGCGCTCCTTACCTTGGGAATTAGCCTGCAAGACCCCGATGCTGTCGTCAAACAGCATGGATTTGATGTTGAGTGACGCCAAGATGCATTCTTTGTCCTGCAGTGATGCATCGTCAATATTGTTCTGATTCGCTGACAGAATGACACACATGTCGCAGAGGTTAATGTTGACAGCCCTCAGATCTGCACGACTCAACGGTGTGCCCTTTGAGAGGAAGTGAAGGAGGGAATTTGTTATCTCACCTATAGGATACAACAGGTAAATGAAAATGTAGCAACTTTTCCTTTGCAGTTATCAGCCTCAAGCCTAATGTCAACCTTGTATCCTACAAAATACTTTTATACACAACTAAATTACTTTGCTAAATTGCTACCTGGTCTCTTTATTGGAAGTGTTCTACAATCCCGAAGTGTGGCAATCAATCCAATAGTTGTTAAGATATTTTAGTCCGTACCAAAGTGGTGGGCCGACCAACAGACAGACTGAGCCATACTGCTATTATGGCTAAAAACAGCATTACGTTTGCTACAAAAAATATTTGCCAATGCAAATTAGTTGCATATGATAGTCATTTTTAGGAGACAGGGTTGTTTATTTTGTCTAACCTGTTACAGTAGATGAATATTTGAAATGGGTGATTTTGTTGGACTCACAGGTAGAATGGAGACTTTTGGAAAATTGTGAAGAGTCTCCCACTCCCGCTTCAGATACTCAAGGGAGCCGACAAACACGATGTGTTTCAGCTCATGGTAGTGAAAGTTGCTCGCTCTCAGCGGCATGACAAAGTTTCGGAGGCCGATCAACGCCGATTTCACATCTCCAAATATGCACACGACCACGTGACCGCTCAGAACAGTCATGGCTGCCTCGCTCCGGGTCTGAGAGAGAAAGAAAGAACAAGCAAGAAAAAAAATATGTTTATGACAGAAATGTGGCATAAACTGCCTTTTCTAGCAAATGTTAGTGCTTTCTCTTCTGTCTGATGCCTACTCACCCGCTAAAATACATCATGCAGTTCATGACTGCAATAGACTATGAAAGTAATTTGAAAAATGGCATATGTATTAGTACAAGAAATGTTCTATGTACAGGGCCCCCATATAGCAAATGGCATGTCAAACACCTCATTACAGAGTGTTTAAGTACCCTGTCAACCTCTGATGGTGCTTTGTGACATGACACATCTGTCACCGGGGAGAAGAGTGTCAGGGACAAATGACGTGTGCAGAGTAAAAGAGCAGAACCCACCAAGATGACCTTCTCGATGTCTTTGGACGGGCACCAGTGAAACATCCCCGTGGAGTCGTATTTCTTTACGTTCTCGTCCATGCTCTCAATCTGCTCGTTCCCAGGGATGAAGAGCGGGTCATGTCTAATCAAACAAAAAGACGGGAGGGAGGGAATGAAAGAATACTATCACGCACTGTAAATGTGGATTAAATGAAGTAGTTCTTGGCATTTGACTAATAAAGCAGAATTATGACATAATAAAACTGAGAATATAATTCACAGACACAGATATATGATAATACTAAGGAAAGGATTTTTTATATAGCTCCTTTCAGAACAAAATCAAGGTGCTTAACATGGGTAAATCAAGATTAAAACATCAAGAAGATGAGTAAAATGAAATACAATACAATAAATTGAAGTATATAATAATTAATAAAAAACAAAATAACAGATTAAACATTTAATAGTAAACATTCAATAGGCCATCAGGGTATTTAGGGGTCTTCAAAAAAATCAGTTGTACTCAAAAAAGTAGCTTTCTTTCTTTTTTTCTCTCTTTTGTCATCCTTGTCAGAGGCCATCTGCAGAAATGCCAACAAAACTACCATGTCATCAAGCAGAGAGACATCAGCAGCGGCAGCCAGGCGGAAGGAGATGGCAGCAACACACTGTGTTGACTGGCATGAGCACGGAGATGCAATTACGCCCCCTTACTGCATACAGCTTTTGACGTAGTGTGCTGCGTGGTAAAAGCTTTAACAGACCAGACTTTAAATATTTTAGCAATTTGCCCAATCATATTTGCTTTTCAAAGTGAAGGGTATTAATGTTTAAACAGAGCATCGAAACTACATAAAGGACTTTCACTGAGCGCAGTGGTGAGCTTCATTCTCCCAAACACTGACCACTAAAGTGCTTTCCCGACATGAGTACCTGCGGTTGTACCACGCTTGTTCTGGTCAGAGTGATATGATATTTGTTCCAAGAAAACAATATATCAAAAACAATCATCCGACCTATAAACCTTTACACTTTCACCCACCCCAAAAAACAGAAAACAGTTCAAACATACAATTAAGTAGATTAGATTTAACTTTAACGTGCTATACATGAGGCCCTTTTTTGAACCACACATCACATTGTTATTTGAAGCATTTAAATTTACCAAGCTTTTAGCTCAAAAATGGAGTTCCTTGCTGTTTTCAAGTAGGGTTCCTGCAGTTCTGTTGTAACCAATTTAAGGCATTTCCCAGCTATTCATTTTATAATCTTTCTATCACTGTTCAGGAGCGCTGGACCTATCCCAGCATGCATGATGAAAGAGGTAGAGCATGTCTATCACAGGGTTAACACACACACACACACACACACACACACACACACACACACGCATACAGTCGAACGACAAACACATTAATTCACACATTTACACCTTAGGGTAGTTAAGGCCATTGGATACAGGCGAAATCAGTTTCATGATTAATACGAATATTTTTCTGATATCGATATATTGTGTATGTATGTAACCTCACACATAAAATAAAGTGATAGTCAATGCAGTGCAAACTCTTCACACATGCAAAACAATAACTCATACAGTTATAGTTTTTAAAGGTTCAGTGTGTAAGTTTTAGTGACATCCAGTGGTGAGGGTTACGAATTGCACCCCCCCTCCCCTATCCAAGCAAGTAGTATAGCTACGGTGCCTGAGACAGGACAAAAGATGTCCTCTGTGAGTTAGCAGAGAGTTGCCAGTCAAGAAATGAGGTTTCTTTAGATAGATTTATTAAGAAATTATATTAACTTCATTATTCAGTAAAACCATGTTTTTTGAACATTATTGCTCATTAATAAACAACAGCGACATCAAGAACTGAAGTGCTACATGATGTCTCATACTCCTGTAATACAGTATTTTACATCTTGGGCGGGTTGGCTCATCTGGACTAACATACCAAAGTATCATCTAGTGCAGGGGTATTCAATTAGATTTCAAAGAGGTCTAGTTAGAGAAAATTTCCTGAAGCAAAGGTCCGGAACATCAAAACGACGAACTTGCGTTATCATTCAGTACTATAACCTATAGTTGTATCAATACATGTTTTTAGTCAACAATGGACTGTCAAATCAAATAATATTTCAGTCAGTTTTCACATCAAACTGGAAGGATAATAAATAATAACTATTCAAATAATAAATTCTAAATTTATTTATTTAACAAATTAAAGTGCCTAATTTTTAGAAAAAATGTAATAAAAAGTGTAGCTTGAAGTGATGAAGTGTAGTTTTAACCAATTTTATAATAAACACTCAACACATCATAACAAATGAACAGCTGTAATGCCTCCTCTTCTCTTTCATTTCCTCTTACAGAGCTACCACTTTCCTACTTTCTGTTCAGTGAGAAACGTGAGCTCCAGCTAGTATATTGGAGATCTATGAGATATTCTGGTTTTGAACTGCCCGTGGGAGGAATGTACATGTAAAAATCTGTACATTCTTGATTAAAAGTCATGTGAAATCTCTTTTATCTTTCGTCTCCTCAATTCGGGTGTGTTTCCAAAACGTCTCTGGTGAATCTCGCAGACTCGACTCGCAAGCATCGGTATGCACAGATTTGATTGGCTGAGCAACGTTACATGAGACGATTGGAGCACATGCGATTGGTCTGTGAGTTTCCTGGTCCTCTAAACCAGTACAGTAAATGCTAGAAAAGCTGCGCGGGTTAAAATAGAAACGCTCCGTCACAAGGTAGTAAGTCTCAATTATAAATGGGCTGTAGGTCGGCGGTCCGGAGAGGACGGCGGTTGGGTCCGGATCCGGACCGTGGTGCGCCTATTAGTGACCTCTGATCTAGTGCATCAAGTATGACCACTGACAGATAACAGGAAAATAGAAGCCTCACTGTTTCTGCACCACAGTCCATTATAAACCACATAATACATGAAGTTTACAATGGCATTGTCAGGTGAGGATCAAGGCTGCTCTTGCTTTGCTTAATTAGATGAGCAATCTGCAAATCTTACCAAAATGTCTTTTTTCTTTTTTTAAAATACAACAGAAACACAAAGTAGTACTGACAGCCATAATTTCAGCTTGTGGTAAAACGGTGCATTGTTTTTAATGGGCATTTAATAATAATAATAATAATCTTTATTTGTAGAGCACTTTTCAAAAACAAGTTACAAAGTGCTTTAAGTGTAAAGACAATAATACAAAAACAATACAAGATAAAAGCAAGATAACATTAAAAAGACTAAAATACACGTTTAGGATAAATATAAAATTAGTAAAATAGAATAAAATACAAGGGATAAAATAAAGTCAAATAAGATCGGGAAAGGCTCTCCTATAAAAGTATGTTTTAAGAAGGGACTTAAAAGAGTTCACTGACTCAGCCGACCTGATTTCCTCGGGCAGGCTGTTCCAGAGCCTCGGGGCCCTGACAGCAAACACTCTGTCCCCTTTAGTTTTCAGTCGAGACTCTGGAACAGACAACAGACCTCTGCCCGAGGATGTCAGGGTATGTGCTGGTGTGTATGGGACAGTTCAGAAATATAACAAGGCGAGAGGCCATGAAGAGCTTTAAAAGTGATATAATAAAAGTAATAGAATTTTAAAGTCAATTCTAAAACATACTGGGAGCCAGTGTAATGAAGCTAAAATAGGAGTAATGTGGTCATATTTCTTTGTTCTGGTTAAAAGCCTGGCAGCTGAGTTCTGGACAGTCTGGAGTCGATCAATAGATTTTTGGGTTAAACAGGTGAAAAGGCTGTTGCAATAATCCAGGCGTGATGAGATGAAGGCGTGTAAAATGGTCTTGGTGTCCTTAAAAGTTAACATAGATCAAATTTTGCTATATTTCTAAGTTGATAAAAACATGATTGAACAAGTTTTGTGGTGTGCTGCTCGAAATTTAAATTACTATCAAACTAAACACCAAGGTTCTTTGCCACAGGCTTAATGTGATTTACTATTGCCATCTGCTGGGACTCGATGACCAGGATTTCTGTTTTGTCTGAGTTCAGCTGGAGGAAATTACTTGACATCCATTTTTTTAACTTCACAAAGGCAGTTGTTAAGTGAACTCAGCATTCCAGGGTCTGTGGATCTGACGGGCAAGTATATTTGTGTGTCATCAGCATAAATATGAAAAGAAATACCATGTTTATGGATAATATTTCCAAGTGGAAGCAGATACAAGGAAAACAAAATGGGTCCTAAGACCGACCCCTGAGGCACACCGTATTTAACTGGACAGAATGAAGAGACATAGTTGTTTACAGACACGTAAAACTTCCTATTTGACAGGTAGGATGAAAACCATTCTAGGGCAGTACCAGAGATCCCCACCCAGTGCCTCAGTCTGTCTAACATGATGTTGTGATCAATGGTGTCAAAAGCAGCGCTAAGGTCCAGGAGTACCAGGACTGAGCACATACCTTCATCAGCAGACATTAAAAGGTCATTGGTGACTTTAAGCAGGGCGGTCTCAGTGCTGTGGTACTTCCTGAAACCAGATTGAAACTTTTCAAATATTTTGTTATTTTCCAGTACAGTGAGCAGCTGTTTGGACACAATTCTTTCTAGAATCTTTGCAATAAAAGGCAGTTTTATTGCCAATAATTCATCAGCTGTTTTGTCGCAGGAAGGACACATTTCTGTCCACGTAACAAAGCCATAACAGAGCGCTGGAGAAGAACTACATGAAATTACAATCCAACTACTATCCAACATATTTTTCTACCAGCGCAGTAAAAGTTTAGCTGGCTGATGCTTCCATGCTCTATGCTAATGTTACTGTTTTATTGCCAATTACTGATCAGCTGATTGTCTCGCTAACGTAACCGGCAAAGCCAACCTACAGGCTGGAGAATAAGTAGGCGACATGAAATTAATCCAACACCACTGACAGGGCAAACACCTCTCTTCTTCTCTCTGTGATTATGGCCAGCTTCATTCGTTTTCATTTGCATCGCTAAAGTCTGACAAACTTAAGTTAATTACCTGTCCAGCAGAAAACAGAAAACTTCAGCTGCTCTTTGAAAACATCTGTCCCACATTATAGCCTTCCATCTGGGAATTTCCACATCCGTGATTTCTGCCGTCAGCTGTTTGTATCTGTCCTGACTCCTCTGGCCTCATGGTATAAAGATCCACAGGCTGTCGGTATGCTCGTTCATTTGTCCAAATGTCACTTCTCTTCTTACTTCTAATAAACCAGTGACTCAGAGACTGTTTATTATAATTATTTTTATTCCCTCTTCTTCTTTGTACGTTTTCAATGTAGTGACGGGCCTCTACACTACACTATTATACAAGCAGAAGAAGAACGCCGTGATGACGAAACGGGCTCTGTAGCGCTGTTTGTCCGTTGTTGGCTACTGTAGAAACATGACAACACAATACAGCGACCTCCACAGCAGGTGGTGCCTGTGGTTATGTAGAAATAAATGTCTCATTCTAAGGTAATAAAAACATAATGGTTCATTATGTAAGGTTTGCTCAGAATCATTAAACTGGATACCAAATTGTAAGTTTCCAATTCACCTGCTCTGTATGTCTTATGACTTTTGGAGGAAACTCACACTGAGAAAAGGAGAACATAGAAATTCCTAACCAGCCGATTCGGTCGAACACCATCTGCTACAGTGGCAACTATGCTATCTATGGGGGCCATGTGCTGCCCAACACAATTCTCTTTGCCCTAAATGGACTTTGTCAGATTCAGATCAGAGTTGAAGATGTTATCTTCTGAGACTCAGACAGAAGCCTTCTGTCTCAGTCCAAAACCTTTTAAATACTTAAAAGTCTTCTCCCCTTAAGAAGAGCATCTCTTTAAAACATATGAGTACTTTAAAAGAATGCTACTTTAAGTAACATGTTAAGTATGCATGAAAGTGTCAGCTGAAACTACCATCCCTCGGGTTCCGAGAGACTGGAGCCAAAAAAGCCTGCCTTGGGCTTATTTACCCTCAAGGCAAGACCTGGATTGATTCAAGAATGGGAGCAGCTGGAGAAGGAAATGTCTTTTCTGACATGTTCTACCTCTCAGAATCTCATCTGTCAAAGCAATTCTAATTTGAAAGGACACAGTGTGTGCACATTCAATTCTGAGTAAAAATATGTAAAATATTATTTTAGTTTCTTTCTAGCAGTATTTCTGAAAAACTCAGTTTATATTGTGATTAATAGTCTGTAAAATATAAGGAAGTTGTGAAAATAACCCATTAAAATTTCTCAGAGCTCAAGGTGGCGTCTTCAATTTGCTTATTTTGTCCAAACAACAGTCCAACCAGCGAATGTTTCACATTTGTGCTTGACAAATGATGTTGTAAATCAATAAATTCAGCTCTATGTATCTATGACAAGCATCTTCCATAACTCTTGTTGTACTCTATATCATCGGCTTCTGCTTGAGTCTGAAATGCAAGTTCTAATAAGAGTGAAAGCATTTAGTGGTTTTACACCTTGGCTAAATATTTCATCAGAAGTCGAATGTTTCACCACTCACTCAGTGGAGCCGCTGTCACTTCAGTTTGTCCTTGTGGAGATGACTGGTGAGGCAGAGCTCTGCCAGGATAGCTATCGCTCACTGTCAACCATGACGGCCTGTCACTATCCCGCACTGCCAATTGCCTCAGCAGTCCTGTAGCAGACACGACGTGTATGTCACGGCGCGGCCCAATGTGACCGAACACGTTGTGACATCCCACAATTAGATGTGTCTTATGACCCATCAAGGAGCCTGTGGAAATGGTGTTAATTTCAGGGAGGTCGTCATCACTAAGTTCCGACAGGACGTGTTAGTTTGCTGATACATCTGGAAACAGGAGACAGTTATGCTTCCACAGCTGATCGCTTTCTTCTTTTGTGCGATTCGTTTCATTACACAGAGCGGAGGCGTCTGTGAGTGTCACTTCTGTAAGCACACTTCTAAACATTCAAAATGATCAGCAGCATAATTCACTACTTTAGTAATAAGATGACACGTTTGACAAGACTTCACACGTCATGACCGCAAAACATAAAGCCAGGTGTCTTCTAGAGGAGTGTAATGACAGCTGAGAGAGACAGAAAGTAGAAGCTAAACATGCATATTATGTAAATTTTCTATTTCAGCATCACTGCACTAGCTTACTCTAACACCGCACAAGCAGCAATGGCAGGCAAAGTCTTTGAAAATCTTCCCCATCATGCAAACTGACAAAGGCTTGCTCTTGAAAACCCACAGCCAATCTGTTGATCATTACTTATTTACAAAGGCCTTGAGGCCGCAGGTCCTGTAAAAACACATTTGATATAGTATACACCAAGATGTTTTTTTGTCTGCTTGTTGCAATGAAGTATCCCTTAGGCTACCGCAGCGGATCCCTCTCCAGCATGTAGGCAGCAGGCACACTGAATGAAATAACGCATCCACCTGTATAGTATTAGCATGGCAAGTAGATTGATTGGTTTGGTGGGCTGATATTTAGCTGATGGCTATGGCATTAGAAAAGGCGGGTTTTGTTACCCAGGAGTCTGAAAATCACCTGGAGCGTTTCAACTCTGACACCGCTTTGAACCAAATCAAACAATCAAACATGGGCAAACGCCCACCTGAAAAAACAGAGGCCATAGATCAAAGGAAAATGCTAAATTATGCATATAAACACTCCTCTTAGATATAATAAAAGTCATTTTATGACTACTTTACTATATTTGCTGATCTGTATTGAATAATTGTGTTAAACAATTCAGACATTTGTGGATTTCATGGCTAAATGTCAAATTATTAGCAGCCATATTAGCAATGGGAACATCTGTCAGTTTTAATTATATTTCAACTGTACAGTTCCACTTTGTATACGTCAGGTTGCAAACCTCTTGCCTGCTTCCTTATAACATGGCATTTAATGACAATGACTATTACTATTGCGATCCTTGTAATGGCTTCTTGTTAAATAACAGCGTTATCTCCAGTCAAAATCAATAAGCACCAGTTTAATTTTATAGGACAAGATAAAAGCAAGGTAGCATTTGAATTTTCCTTTTATTGTGATGATACATATCATCTGTGGCCTTATAGAGCTCAGAGGGATCCGACAATAGATGAATAGCCTTGGGCAATCTATCCTTTAGAGCCTCTCTGACTGGCTGGTGCTGACATTAGTGCCAGGCCTGTTTAAGAGCTGTATGCGAGTGTCACTTTGGACCACGTGGTAGAGAGCCCTCTGCAAGTCTGATATGTTTGCAATAAAAACACATAAACATTTTCTTTAAGATGTTTCCATAATATATACTGCTGAGCCTGACCAATACTGTATTTTTGAGGTTGATACCAATATTGATATTTGAGAGTAAAAAATCCGGAAACAATATGCCAGCAGGTATGTTTTTTATATAAACACCATTTTGATTTAACAATAGATCAAATGTATAACCTCAAAGGGCTCCTGTAGTCGTGAACCCACAGAGACTTATTACTTCACTCTGCAGATCCCCTCAGGTCTATGCAGCATTTTAGCAACTTTGAGCTCATTGTTTTGATTTTACAGCCCATAACCTCATTGTTTTGGTTCACGATCAACCTTTTTCCTGCCATAGCACCTATTATCAGCAAAAATTGTCTGATAAATGCCAAATAAGTTAATTTGATTATAAACCAACTGTATGTTACCTGCACAGCACCAAACGGCAAACAGACAAAGATGACTAGCTGGTGAACATAGTGGAGTATTTAACAACTAAAGATATATATTTCCCTCAGGAGATGGTGTAGACCTAAAACAGAGCTAAAATGAGAGTGAATATTGGACTTACATTTGTTCGGGGTACAGAAACAGGACTCTAAATGAATGCTAATGTTGCTCCATGTGTGGTGGATGTAGATATAAACAAGTGGTTGTTAAGAGATTTGTCATACCAGCTTTATAAGATATATAACAGTGTTGTTTACAGCTTGTTGTGCTGCCCCCAAGTAGCCAAAAAATCAGTTGATGCAGGTAAAAATTTGGGTATTAAGAATTTTAAGAATGTACTGAGTGGCAAGATGACAAAAATGAATTGTATGTTAACTCAACACAAAATAAAATGAAGCAGAAGTGTCATCTTTGTTGTCCTACCTCATTATCTTGGGTGAGGAGTTTGGAGAATTCCTCATGTTTCCATTTCGTTGCTTTTTTTTAGGCGATAATGCCAGCTGTTGGTCCTCTTCAACTGCAACAAAAGGCAATGGCATCAGCGAGCGAATTATCAAGATCATCTCCCAAAAATCCATAAATCAGTGACAGCAAAAGAACAACACAGCACAATTTGAGGTCAGTGAATTCAAAGAGATAATACAGTTACAGAGACATAAAGTGGAAAGAGCGGTTGGGTGAACAAGATGGAGTGGAGACGACACTTTAACTAGTGTACAACGGAAAACAGTCCAATGTTTGCATGATGACGACAGGGTACATTAGCACACGATTTACATGATTGTGTATGAAGATGCAAACATGCAATAGTGCCATCATCAACCATCATGCCAATTGCTGCAATCTCATCTGTGAGGTTTTATTCACCACTCTCTAACTTGAAGAATTGCTGTAATCCACATGTCAACAAGTTCATAATTCAAATAATGTAGTACCACAAACACATCAAGGGGTATTAGGATACTTATTTTGAATCCCTTATTTGTTTTTTCCCATCAGACCTAGATTGGGAAAGCTTCTCTTTTGGCTATGTTAATCACTCACATTCTCTTTTAATTAAGGTAATAACTTGTAAACATAAAGCATCCAACATTATAAATAAGGCTCCTTTTGTGCCAATAGTGAATCCAGTCTGGATTGCTGGTCTTTCTTCATCTTGGGAGTGACGCCCTTGGCTCATATAATTAGCTTGGTCCTCATGCCAGAGTGATTTATGTACAGCTGAGATGCCCCTTGGACATTGTCTTTATCGCTACACAAAAATGCACAGAGCTTTTCATAGGGAACGAATTACAAGTTTTACCCTGGGGTAAAGTAATCAGGCAAATATTTTCACAAGCTAATATCGGTGTTGAATAACACCATGGCAGTCGCTGGTAAAATAAACACAAGCAACAAGAAATGTGTTTTTGCTAATCGCATTTTAACAGCCATTGTTAACAGTGGGAATAGCTTGTTACAGGTCAAGGAAAATACGCTTGAGTATCTTTTAATGATGCTTCAAGCTCTCAACAGGAGATTTTATTTAGCAAAGAAACTAAAAGAGCTTTCATCAAAACCAATAAATCTCAAAGATCATGCTCCTCTGCAGATGAACACAAACACTGCTAACATGTCTAAGAGTGACACCATAATGGAAAATGCTATGGTACAGGGGGGCTTCCATTGGAGAGGGATGCTCCAACACACTGGCCCTTCACATCTTGCTTGGCCTGTTCAATATTTAATGTTTCACAGCTGACAGCTGCACACACTGGGTCATTAGTAAGGAATGCTACACATGCAACCGCTCTAGCCTGGCAAGCACATGCTTTGGTTGTGCTGTTGTTGAGTACAGGCCTGGCAAACACGCCAAAGGGGGGGGGGGCTTACAGTGCCTGTGACTGAGTGTGGAGTTATTGGAGTGACTGGGGTGGTATCTGTATTTCACCGGAAGGCTACGTGCCCGCTGGAGCCGGGTGACCTCTTCTGCCACCCCTGGTAGCCGCCCCACCTGGCCTAGGACCCCAGAGCCCAAGAGGCTCAGTCTCAGAGCAGAGGGCTCAGCGGAAGGCAGCAGGCTTCCCTTGCGGTTGTTTACCAGCGGGACAGACACAGCAGCAACTCTGCTAAGGGGCCCTCTACAGGCCTCGCTGGCTGAGTTGTGGTTCAGTTTAGCTGATGTGTATTGATAAGTTGACGACTGGATTAGGGGCCCATCATCTACTGCTAAATGAAGAGGAGTCAAAATCAGGATTGTACAATGCAGGTTAATGCATTCTTTGCTTTGCTTAAAGTGCCAGTTCACCCAAATTATGAAACCTTACCTCTAGTGGTATCTAGCCAGATTGATAGCTTTGATTTTTTTATTTGTGGTTTTGAGGTAGTTGTCTGAGATTTCTGCTTCCATCGCAATACAATGGAGGTGAATAAAATTGAATTTGTGGTTCTCACAACACTGAAGAATTACATTTGAAACACTCAACAGTGTGTCTTAGAAGAAACAATTACTCAGGATAATCCTTAGGCCTTATAGTCTACCAAACTACTTTCTATTGAAGAAATAGCCACTATGAAGACTGTTCATAGTATGTTCTGTAGATCAGAGTAACTGTGAAAATACTTTTTTGATGCTGTGAGCACCAAGAACACAATTCAGTTCACCTCCAGTGTGTTGGGTGATGGCAGACATTTCAAAACATGGGTGCGTAAGTTACGAAACACTTTGTTTGGGGTTTCGGTGAACTAACCCTTTAATTCTTAAGATGAACCACAAGATAGGATTTGATTTAAACTGACTTCAATAAGACCTGCAGTGTGTATGTTAATAAAACATATTGTGACTCTTATCATAATTAAACCATAATCACTGGTTTTGGGGGGTAATTCCTTCTGGCACAAGAATGCTAATAGCTGAATAATTAAAAAACTCATTTTTATTAAACACCACTTAACCACTTGGTATAGTCACCACTGAAATGTTGGATATGACATTCACTTTGATATTTATAATAAACATAAATTAATAAATATGCTTTCAGGTGTTCCAGCAATTGTTATGCCATGGAGGTGACAATGTGAATTAACAACTAGTAGCTGCTTTATGCAGTTTATCCCTGATGAGGGAGGAATGAATCAGTATCCACTTGACTATTTGAAATGTGAAAGGTTACAGCTCCACTGGTGTTATAATATAGGTAAAACTGGTAAGAAGATAACATGATAAAATAGACAAAAGGAAGCAGAGGAAAAGCGTTCCCTTTAAAAAAAAAATAGCTAGGAGCTAAAGTATAGAGATGATTATTTCAACAGTCAGCTGTCTAGCAGATTAGCCTCCCTGCTCCAGACCTCCACTATTCATCTGCCCCATGTCAAACATGCAGTGCACTTCTCCAGGACAACATGTTATGGCAGATTTGCTGCCTATCACAGATCCTGTTTAAGTCGATGGTCCACATGGTTCACACTCCTTTTAATGGCTAGATGAAAACTGAGAAAATCTTAGACTAACTCTTAAGTATTAGAATTTTTTATGCCTCCTGTCTGTTCTTAAAGTTTATCTCCATAATAAATTCTTGCATACATTTACTTTAAATTTTTATATGTATTTTCAGCAGTACACTGGGTTTAGTTATCCCCACACACAGTGAAGCGGTAGCACCATCTACTGCTGAGCTGTAACTGATCCCCAACACAAACCACTCAGAAACTATTTACTAATGCTTTGCATATAAAATATAATGATGGATGATGATAGACTGGACAGAGCGATGAGCAGCGAACAGTGAAATACAGTAGGTTAGAGACAGTACATGTGGTGATAACTGAGAATGCACAAGAGCAAGGGTTAGGAGAAAAAAAAGACAAAGGAGAGAGAATGGAAATCAAAACTTACTTGATTTGATATATCCATTATAGCTATTTTTAGCTGAGAAAAATGCAGAGACAGATGAGAGGTTACAGGGAAGAACAGGTTGTAATGAAAGCAAATTATAAATGACAACTGGGAATTGAAAGCTGAGAGATTTCTCTTTAAGGCACTTTAATAAAAGAGCAATGCCTTGAAGACAACATGGATTAAGCAATGAGAAATAAAACACGGGTCAGTTAGGAACATGATTTCAGTAAGCTTAACAGTGGATCATTGGCAGTGTTTGTAGGCAATCACCTGCTGAACATAAACAGTCATGTTTGGGGTGTTACAGTTGGCCCTTATTTGGGGACTTGCAAGTCAAAAGACGTCTAGATGTTTGGTTAAAAATTATTAAAAGTAATAGATTTTTAACCAAATTGATTTGATAAATAAATTAATTTTGATACATTTTCTAAAGCCCAAGCTGATGTCTTTAAATAGCTTGTTTTATCTGATAAACAATTCAAACCCCCAAATGATTTATTTTCATATTGGACAAAAAACAAAAAAACAAACAGCAAATCATCAGAATTGAGAAGCTGAAACTGGAAATGTTTTGTATTTTTGATTGAAAAAATTAATGGATTATCAAAATAGTTGAAGATTCTGTTGATTAACTAATTGATTATTCAGCTAATTGTTTGAGCTCTATCAAGGTTACATCTGTAAACTGTTGTTTACGCAGCATTAAATTACTACAGCACACATTGAAAAGGCTTTTTAACCTTGACGTCTACAGAGGGAAACCAAATTTAGCCTGGTTTTAACTTGTCTTTATGTTTTTGTTAACATGAAAACCATCTATGCTTACTATGTAGACCTGCATTAACATTTAGTCAGGATGTATGCATATAACAAGGCTTACAATAAGCGACAATACTGGGTTCTTGTTCTAAACCCTATAGTATTATGTTTATTTTTCTCTCCTTTTTCCCAAAAGCTGTTTCCCATTCCTCTGCACTGCCTGACACAACCTGCCCAGATTCATGGAACTTTCTGTGAGTCACTTTTTGGAAACCGTTGAGTCCCACACATGCTCATTAGTACCTTATTTCAACCCCTTGCTTATAATAAAGGTCATGCATTGAGCTTAAGGCAGGACAGTGACAGCAATGTTCAAACAGGGACCTTGCTGGTCCTGGCATCTGTCGCCTGCAATCGGAGGGCGCAAGCAGAGTCACAGGACTAACAGGCTAGCATCTGTCCCACAACGAGAGAGGAGGAGAGGGGCGGGGGCACTCAGCTGCCTGGTGGTTAGGAACTGTCAGGCTGAGTTTCATGACAACCGGTAGCACTCCAAAAATGAAAATGCAAACATAATTTCCATGTCAGGCCGTATAAGGCCTCGCTCTGTGCGTCTCCCGCACCGTGTCGACAGCAACTCCGGAGCTCTGCTTGAGCTTAGCTAGCCAGGCAATGCTCACAGCACACAACCCTGGAAGACATGTTGAGGGGTAGAAAATGCCCAGAGACATTCAACTACACGCAGAATGGTCTTTGATCAAGAAACATTCACTAAAACTATATGGCAGTCCACAATGTTTTCCAGCAAATTGTATCAACGCTCGGCACACTCAAACACATTCTTCATGCCTTCTGCGATACATGAGTACAATTTAACATGCCCTCTGGTTTTAAAGGGGAATCACACTTGAATTAAGAATTCATATGCAGCTCAATTCAGTTCAGGTCTATTCACTGAAATCCAATACGATCCAGCACTATTCTATTGTCTTTTATTCCTCTTGCAATCCAGTTCAGTTCTCTGGTTCATTTTATTGTAGAATTCAATCAATATCATGAGACTCAATCATTCAGACCCAGAGCTTCTCCGTTTGCAATAAATGAGGCACTGTGTATGTACTGAATATGTTTTGGATATTTTGCCCCCAGTGGTTGTTCAAGCTTTTGATCTTAATTTAATAAAACCACTACATTAACCTCAATATGTACTGCTACCCTCATAAAATCCCCTGAGGTGCACTCAAAACTGCCTTTTTTAAATTAATTGTCAGTGACAAAAAGTGATGTTTATACGTATAAACATTTAAAATCCTATCCTGTTCACCCATTTCTGGAGGGTACAGTTGTGAAATATTTGGATTCAGCTAATGTTATTTAGGTTATTCTTGAAATTATGAAATTGCCCTCTCCAGTGACATCATTATAGCACTTGTACTCTCCTATCAACACAAATAATTTGAAGAAATGCATGCAAATTATCCTCCAGGATTCCCAAGTTTGAGTGTGCATCAGGAGATTTGTGGCGGGGATGCGCAGCTGTACATTTTTCATGGCTTCAGCTTTAATTTCTTGTAAATATGTTGGCAAGGTCACTGGAGGGGGTCAGCATACTATTTTTTCAGCGGAGAATTAGTTTTCACATTCTGCAAAAATTTTGCATTAGTGACCGTTTCATCTCATTTAAACTACAGGTCAATTTGAAGTCACATTCTCTGACAAAACACCAGCAAAACAGTATACTGGCATGCGTCACAACACTTAAAAGTCACCTCCATAAGTAGCAACATAGGCACAGCAACATCTATATCCACGACAGTAACGACACAGCTGCTAAAGCTAGACAGCACACAAGCTAAAGACACACTGCACAGTTAACACAGTGCATGTTACAAACACTGAAGAGCACATGTCATGGCGACAACTTACAGGCACGTAAAGTGGCTGAGCAATCATTAACAGAGACAGCAGAGAGTGGGATGTCGCGTTGAGGGGAGTCCATGTTACAACGCACATTAACTGGCATGCAAGAGCAGTCCCGCTCTGAGCGGCCGCAATCAAAACAACATGCCAGTCTGATTTTCTTGTAGGCGGCCGTCTTGGCTACAGTCACAGGTTCAGACGAGAGGAGAGGAAGAGCAGGTTAATGTTGAGGGTCGTTCTGGAGGAAGAGTGGACAAAAGCAAGACAGGGCACAGAGGAAGGCTGCTGCTGGGATGCACAAGATAAACTTGACAGAGTACAAATGTCAGATTAGGAATTGCGATTTTGTTTCCCCACTTTTTGTGGTTTATTCAGTGTGGATAATTGGGACTAATGGGGGATATATTATGAGGTCCTTAAGTTACATGGTTTGGGGGTAAAAACATGACATAGGAGGGAAGAGTGGGGGCACGACATGAACTTTTTCAGCAGCAGATGTGACAATAATTCCCATAAGTTCCCGCTTGACTTCCTGACTTCATCCCTACCCATCACCTCAACATGGCCCCTACAAGCTAACTGTATATCCACTAAGTGATTAGACACGAAAAGTTCTTATTTCTTAAATATTTTTACTGGCTTTTTTATTCTAGCAGACAATTCTAGGTCAATATGACAGAAAAGTCTCAACAAAAAAAGGATAAAAAACAACAACCACAAGTGCAAAATAGTATGACCTTAGTAAATTACATCATTTGGGGGTATTTGTTAAATGATTTATTTCTTTTATCAAAACAGTTAAAACGAGAAATGTTCCTCATTTCTCATTGTGGTGGCTTTCTAGCTGTGCTCTTCTCGCAGGGATGTAGTGTTTGTCAAAGGACTGCGGGGACATCTGGTGGTCATCTGGAGTATTATTGACTTAAGCAGGCATGAATAAAATACTGACACTGTCCTAATAATACTTTGACGACACTGCAATAACTTTTTTTAGTATTAAATTTTCAAATGAAAGAATAAATGAGATTAGGTATTGCATGCTCAACTTTTTATCCTTGCCTCTCTAGGTCTTGATGGAAATAGTAACAGCATAATTTATAAGTTTGTTGCTCATTTTTGTTAAATGTTTTCCTTGATTTGAACATGCACATGACAACGTGGGGGATCCAGGCAGCATCAACCATTGTTCATGCAACATTTACAGTACATTCAAACAGGTTGCTTCAATCGGATGTAGCAGGCTGTGTTTTCGGAGGGAAATGAATCCACATTACTCACAATATATCACTATAAAGTGAATTTTTAAGGAAAGTGTGTCAAGTTCCCAAGCAGCAGGAAGAGAATACATCAGATGTTAAGATTAGCTGTTTGCTGTGATGGTTAAAACAAAACAAACTATATTTAATCCATGTGAAAGAGCAACAAAGAGGCACATGTTTTTTTTTAAAGCCTAGAAACACACAAATCATCCAGGTACCTGAGGTGTTAACAGTCTCTCTGAATGCCTGTTTACTTCACAAAATTATCAGTGAGCTGTAACAGCCAAGACAGCTATTATACAAAAGAAAACATAGCACACATCCACACAGGCAAACAGACAAAATGCACTTTTAGTCAGATTTTTCACTTCTCTGAGTGTCTATAATAGGAGGGAATCACACTTAAAAGAGAACATGGTATAAATGCTGAATAAATCTCTCTATTCTCTGATCTTGTCCATAAGTGGTCTTTACCTGAGCAACCCACAAAGAAAAAATAAAGAGTATTTCACTCAAATTACAAAAAAGAAAAAAACAATCTCAGAGGAGAATATCTTAAAATGATACCCATAAAAATAAAATTATATGCATGAATAGATAGCAGTGGAAAGCTTTTGTAAATTTGGGTGAAGTGACCCATAATGAGGGCGGGTATTTATATCACACAGAGGCTCTAACATGTAGCATTACAAGGGAAATTTGGAGTGCACCTGTTTGTTTTGGTCAAGGAGAGAAATCCAACGACCCTTCTTAAAGCACAAGTTACAAGGTTTCATGAAATGAATAATTAATGCAGGAACTAAGTGGTTTGGACACTTGGCTATGTAGGTCATGTAAATAAACCCTCACACCGATAGACTGATGTTAACTCAGTGCTGTTTTACTCTAGTCTGTGAAGAAATGTTAATGAAGTCAAATAAAGTTAACCAATGCTTTTTATGAAGTAACTTACATTTCTTGCATCCACATTTCTTTATCCTTTTGGGATCAGTAATGTCATCATGGCAGGCTTTACAGTAAAACAGTGCCCTATGGACAAAAAAGATAAATCCCATGTAAGCAGACTCCAACATGCTGAAATAAAGTGTTTTACAGGCATTTTATCTTCTCAATGTCTGCAACAAGTAGTTTCAGTGTGCATGCAATCACTCTGGAAAAGAAACTTTTAATAAACGTATTTGATGTTTGCAGAAAAACTGTTGAAATGTAGGCACAGGAATGCATTTCATCACAAAGAATCAGGTTGATTAAACAAATATTATCCCTGGTTTTCAAAAACAAGTCAGGCAAGCATTTTAGGCATTATCAAAGTGTGTCAAAACTTGGCTGAGCATTTCTTTGGAAGCCTAGTATTAACGTTAAATAATGTTTTGACCAATCATTAAGCCCTGCAGTCGGTTTCAGGCTGTGCTGTCATTAATCTACTGAGCCCTCTGACTGGTGCCCTAACATACCTAAAATCTGTCTTTGAATTTTACCCTTGTCCAAGCAAACAGCAGATACTAGCTAACACCTAACATCATTATCTCACAACTTGTTAGCTAACAAAAACCAGCTAATAGTATGTTAAGCTATCTAACATGTTGCATACACTGGTAGCATGCAGCCTATCCCCAATAAAGGAAAAAACAGTTATACAGGCCTCCTATGAATTCCTTACATTCTGATGAAATGTGGACACGTTACTTTTGCCCTTTCCCCTGCATTTCATAATTCAATTGAAAGAATATGGATGAAGACATTAGAAAGAATAAAGTATGACATTATGGTTAATACAAAAGAACAGGAAAACAGCATGACAGAGCCTCCATCAGGGTAGAGACTTTACTTTTAGACATCATTTAACCTAAGGTGCCATTCATTACCTCTTTACTTCTTTGGCATCGCTGGCAATGAAGAAGCCCAAGGTCCCCTCCTGCATTTTCACGTGGTTTCCAGGGTTTATCAGCGTGCTGTGATGATTTAGAGACCAAAGATGTCACAGCGGAAAGTTATATCACAGAATTTGCAAGGCTTTGCACTAATAACTGGCAGTGGCACATGATGGCAAAATTACTTTTCGCAACTAATTTGGCAGGAAGCCCTCTGTTTATTAAATTAAGTTGTTGAAAGCAGATAGCAGTGACACTTAAGATGGTATAAAATGCATTAGTGCATTGGACAAACCACTAAAATAAAGCTTTAGCTGTACTTAAAGAGACCAACTGCCAACTTCCCCATTAATTTGTCAGGATGTTATCAGAAACGTCTATGATGTCGGTGAACAAACCAATTTAGACACCAATTTAGCACATTTTGTAAGTGCCTTGTGTTTGCAGTCAAACAGAGAAGCTGATTCAAAGTAGCTTCATCACTGAAAGCAAATACCGACAGCAAACACACCTGCATATTTAAGATTTTGCAGAAATGAATTTTAATGACTTCAAAAATCCAGTGTGAACACATCCACTTACCTGCTTTCCCTTATATCAGACTTGTACTCTATAGCTATCAGTAGTAGCTTTAGCTTCACATAGCAGAGTCTGCAAAAGAGAATAACAATATAATTAGACCTCTTGCACGCTAAATATTTGTAGTTTCCTGAAAATCATCTTAGATTTAAGTACCACCTTTTTCTACTGAGGTCAGATTCATATTTTTGTGGCTGAGACCCTGTTTCTCCGAGGTAATGTAAACTTATTTTTTGGTATCATCTTAGCTTCTTTGAGCCTTCAATTAACAGTTCCAGTAGTTAAAAAATGTATTGCTGTTATAATATTCAAACATGGATATTCAAGGATTTTGTAGAGAAATGGCTCATGAATGTATGGTGTGGAGAAGATTGTGTATTTCTTTTTAAATCCCATTATCTCGAGGTCACAATTATCAATTATAACAGTTATTATGGTGATTATCATGTGATTTTTTTTGCTTAAGATAACCTGCTACCTCAACAAAATTACTTATTTTTTCTGACATAATAGAGAAAATTTCAAGATTGTAAGATAATTGAGATGAATAAAATTATGACCGCTTACAGCTTCCGTAGTAACCTGTAGTTTTGAGGTTAAAACATTATTATATTTCCACAATGCTGTTTGCATATGTTCAGTTTCTTACTACTGACTACAGACTGAATTCTTGCACCTAGGAGACACAAACCCAAAAATAGCAAAGAAGAAAAGAAAAGATAAAAAGCCAATATTTCAGTGTACTTACTCGCAAATAACAGGGAAGGACAAGCCCACAAAGGCACTTGACAGGTACTCCGTGTACATCTCATTGGCTACTCCTTCAAGGTAATACTTCTGCCACGTGTCTTCCTCAATCTACAACAAAGATTTATCAATTCAATTCAAGTTTATTTATATAGCATCAATTCACAACAACAGTTATCTCATAGTGCTTACAGTTCACAATCACAAAATACAGAAAGCTTGTTCCATTACAAAAAGAACTGAACACAAAAAACAAAAGTTCATCCCCGCCCCCTCGCCAGATGCTGCACATGGGCCTCATCTGGGATAATCATTATTATTTATTCCAACTATGTTTAAGGCCAACTTTACTTTTGTACTTAATCCAGTGAGCACAGATGGATGAATCTAAGATGTGGCTACCTTGATGAAGGATCTCATGGAAAAAAGGTTGGCCAACATGGTGGAGAGGCCCTGAGCCAGGCAGCTCTGGGCGATGAAACCGAGCTTCAGCTCCGCAAGACAAATGGCGTCATCTCCCTCCTTCCAGGTCCAGCTTGGGATGTTCAAAAGGTGGGCCTAAAGGGAAAAGCTGCATGGTAACTTTACAGAACTACAAACTATCAGTAAACATTTATTTACAACATGTTTCGAAGATGTTAAAAACCTAGACAGTCAAAGCTTATACAATATATATTAATGCATAATATCAGTTCAAACTAATCCAAACACAAGCATCCACATCAAAATGACAAAACGCATACATACAAAACATCTAATTAATGACTCCAAGAAACTTTGTAGTTAATGATGCAAGTAAAAGTACTTATACCAACCTTATTGTGGTACTGCAACATTTGAGTGATTATTCTGATCTTTGGATGGTAGTTTTTGATAGATATTACCCTGATGTATGATAAAAAGGACAAAGCAAAATCAGACCACTGAAAACTTTTCCTCTGTCTGTTCTACTTTTTCCAGGAATGTCTATATCATTCATAAACATAAAAACTCTGTACAGCTCTAAGGAAAAATTTTCACATTGTATATTTTTAACACAGTTTACAGCTGGGTGGCAGTTTACATTTGTGGCCAGAAATTTAAAGCTAAAAACAAAACAGATGGGTGTAACATATTCATGTTTCCTCTCTTCTTGAGTTCTTTATTATTCTCCAAAAGGGAAAGTGAGCACTAGCAGTTTGTTCATGCTGAGAGTCTGTCTGCTTTCAGTGAGAGCCACCTCCGACAAGCTGGCTTCCACTCAATTTAAGTCCAGGAAGAAGTGGGAACTGATTTCGAACACATTATTACATGTTCAATAATTTATAGAGTATACTGATTAATGATATTTCTGTAGCACATTTAAACTTCTTTTAAGCACTTTTAAATGCAGTTGTCCATTTAGCTTTTGTGTTTGCAACATTGAAATAAAATTTTCTCTCAGGTTGTTGTTCTTGTGATTATTTGCTTCCTCAAAACAGACAGTTCCCACATCAATTCTGAAAGCCTTTGTACTCTCACGCATTAACCACTTGACAATGCCTGAAACGTTTACTAATTTCAGTTCTTCCACTCCAAAAATATGTATGTTTCTCAGAAGCTACACAACAACGGAACATTAGAAAAAAGAAAAAAAGAAAGAAGCTGCATTGGTTTACCTCATGATGTTTGATGCATCCTCAGCATCAGGGTCCGCACAGTATTTGTTGGCTAAGATCAAACAAGCATCAGCTGATTCAATCTGGAAATAAAATCACACACAGCAGATAACATTATATAACTGACAGTAACAGAATTTATAGACACAAAAACAGCACAGTTCTGAGCCACAGAGGAAGTATTATCTGTCAGTTACCTTGACTCTGGCCAGGTCGTGTGGGTTTAGGACAGACCCTTGGTAAAACTCCACCTGGGTGAAGTGTCGTTTGAACAAGGCTTCCAGCTCAAGATTAGGGGAAATACTGAGAGAAGGAAGAGAAACCTTTAAATATGTGGGGGAACACTATTTCTAATCTACTGAAGAGATGAAGAGTTTTTTTCTTGAGCAAAGAAATTTGACGTATCTTCAGGGACACAAGTGAAAAAAATAATGTTTTGTACTTACTTATGGAGAAAAACAATTTCTACATTGACATCGTCCCTGTCCTTGTGTAGGAAGTCTTTTAGAAAGTTGGACACACTCTCAAGTGTTATATGACCACAGACCACGATGTGCCTAGAAAACGAGGTGCAGAATAACAATGAAACTGAAATATATTCGGACTAAACAAAGCACACACATACAAATTGTTGTTGTTTCATCTTCACCTTTGTCCTGGGATCTAAAGGTAAATCTGAGATAAGAGAGATGTAATGGACTTGAAAAGTAATCAGTACTGTATTTAGGTGATTGATTTGAAATGTGGAAATGAAAACTATGTTAGGGAAGGATGTTTGATGTTCCTGTCGTGACGAGTGAGGACTGAATGAGTAGGTCAGAGAGCGCTGTGGATTTCAGTATCAGATTATAAAGGATCAGAGTTTACTTAGATGGAGATTATGAAATCAGAGCACAATCTATCTCGGTTAACACATATCACAGATCCTTTATAAAACAGTTTAGATTTATTCATATATGTCTATATTCAAATTTATTTAGAAATTATTTAGAAAATAATTTCAAATGTTTACTCTTTTTACATTTTGTCTGGAAATGCTGCTGCTCAAGAGGAACCACAGCTGGAAATGCCATAATTATTTGTGGCTTTAATGTACAATAAATGCACCAGTATTTTTGTTTGCAACACTTGTTCTGTTAATTTGTGAAGGAAAACAGTTAAGAGGATGTTTTATCGATGACAGCAATTATACTAAAGAAAACAAGAAGACAAAGAAGAAGACAGAGGGTAAGAGAAAAATAATGATGCTTATAATTCTATTCAGCTGCAACAATATTAACATTAAAAATAAAAAGTGCATTCATATTTAAAAGTGGGGAGCCGAAACCAAGTACTGTATTTATACAGGGATAAAAACTGCAGACACAGATTTTAAAAAATTCTGTTTTGGCTACTGTTGTAATGTAGCTGCTTCTGAACCTGATAAAATTGTAAAGCCACTGTTGATCAGATGTTTGTGTGAATGAGTCTAACCAATACAAAAACACAAACAAGCTGACCGTTAGTTTCAGCTCCTAGTCCATCTCATATAAATAAATACGATGTTGATAAATGTTCAATTCACCTATAATAAACAAAAATTACACATAATAATACATTTAAAATAATTGTACAACATACACACAAATTACTTCAAAAGCTCTAATTGTAGGTTTTCTACAAAACTAACCAACAAAAGAAGCAAAGATTTGGTTTAAGAACATTTCAAACCAACTTTACTTCTCCAAAACAAAGTTAATGAACACAAGTACCAAAAGCATGCTACAAGAAGCCATATTTTGTTAAGAGGCATCCGGTAGAATCTCACTATCTGTAGAAACAGAGCTTGGGACACAAAAGTGTATATGTTAAAGGAACAGTTTGACATTTTGGGAAATACACTTTTGTGTAGAGAGAAGATCCCTCTCTCATGTCTGTGTGTTATATATGGAGCTGGAGCCAGGAGGTGATTAGCTTAGCTTAGCAGAAGGAAACAGCTAGTCTGGTTCTGTTCAAAGACAAAAAACATGCATACTAGCACCTCAAAGCTCACTAATTAACAGGTTTCTGTTTTTTTTTATCCATACATAAACAGAAATGTACAAACAAGGTGTGTGTTAAGCTACAGCTAAGCTGACAAAGCTAAGCGCCTCCTAATGTAGCTTCATATTTATCGTACAGACATGGGAGAGGTATCAATCTTATGATCTAACTTTCAGCAAGTAATTAAATAAGCGTATTTCCTAAAATGTCAAATTATTCCTGTAAATTCAAAATTTTATTTAGTCCTGAGGGTGTAGGTCAGACTGAAGATAAAGGCCAAGAATATTTAAAAGCAAAGCGTGAAAAAAAGACAAGCATTGCAAGACAAGTTTTTCCAGAATGTAAAAACAAAATTCCAAAAACCAGCATGAAGCAAGCAGTGGTATACGAGATTGGATGAGTTTGATCATTTCTTCAATAGTGAACTTTGTACTGTAAGCTTGAGTTTATACTATTGTCATGGCATTATTGCTCTGTTTAAATATAATTATTGGATACTCCAGTATGAAAAAACACTTTGAGCATGAACATATATACATGAACTGATTCAACTCTATAGGAACTCCATTCTGTACAGAGTTGATGAGTGAGAAGTACTAGCAGGGCTGTATATCAATCATTATTTTCCTTTGAACAGATATTTGCTATATTTTATTTTATGTTGTTGCAATTTGTCTGGTATACAAATGTGAGTTTGGCTGGGTACGCAGGGAGATGGGTTAACAAAAATAAACTGTGTGAATGACTGAAACCACTAGATTTACAAACACACATTTGGCACAAATGTACATTGACAATAAGCAGCCTAATTACAGATAAGATCACAAAACATGTAGGATTTTCGCTCCATGTATCATGGTAAAGGTAGAATAAACTGTGATATACCTGTGAACTGGGGGTGGGGGTGTCTATTTCTGAAATAAAGTTTTTTAATGTATTTATTTAACCAGGATATGTATGTACCTTATAGTTCAACTTAATACACTCAGGGGTTTTATAGCTACAACCTTAATTGGTCTGGTATGACCAGCAGCTTATAGAGGCTGATGTTAGCTAACAATGGCCAACTTTAGATAGATATTGCTGTTTAATTGACGTTACTGTGTCAGTTTGCTGACTTTTTTCTACTAGTGCTACTGTTACACAGTGTTTTACACATTAACTATAATCATGTAATTGTCACTTGTGGCCACATCAGCCGCTGTTCAGAAAAAGTTAAATACCGGTAGGTTGACTTTAAGCTACGTCCCCTGTTAAGTCAGAGGTCAAAACATGCTAAGTGACCATGGTTTAATCCTTTTACATGCACATCAATTATATTTTAGTAGTAGCATGGATGATCACAGTTTCTATCCTACATGAAAATCCTACATGTACCATCTTCAAACATGACAACAGTACACGTACCTGACCACACTGCAAAAATATCTATCTGATTAGGTAATTCCTAGTGTTGTAGTCAAGACCGAGACCAGAGTTTATCAAGACCGAGACAAGACCAAGACTTTTAGGGGCTGAGACCAAGTCCAGACCGAGACCGAAGGAGGGAAAGACTGAATCAAGACTAAGACCGGTTCCCCACATTACATTATAAACAACAAAATGTGTAACAAGATCATAGCTACTTCTTAAATTGATCTGAAAGATCCACATTCCCATTAAAACACCCATATACAAACACTAAGAGCTGAAATCAACATAAGCATTGCAATCGCAGGGATGGGTGTCAGTCGTTAACGGTAACAACACATTTTAATTAGGGTTATTGGTTGCATTTGAAGCAGTACATTTTACATCCAATCAAAGTTAGGATGTTAACAAATAAATCAGACAATGCAAAAGCAATTTACTGATATTCCCAAAAGTATGGTCTTGACTGTTCTTGAAATAAAATCCAGAGTCTTCAATGTCCAAAAACAAGACAAGACCGAGTACAAATGCGGTCGAGTCCGAGACAAGACCAAGACCATCAAAAAGTGGCCTTAAGACCGGTCTTGAGACCAATGCCAGTCTCGAGTTCTACAACACTAGTAATTTCTGTCTATTGTTGAGCTCTCAGAGTCCTATTTATTTATTTATTTTTTTAATCTGTCTGGCAGTAAGGTCACTTCAAGATACTTTCAATAAGAGTTGAGTTTTTAGAAAGAATTTCCCTATGTCTGTATCATTTTTCTTCAACATATTTTTTAAGAAAATAAGACTTTTAGGACTCAATAACAAACAAAAATCACTTGTTGAGACAGGGATTTTTTTGCAGTGTAAAAGCAGACGTTCATTCATGACAAGCAGCGATGACAGCTTAAAAGCAGCATACAGTACAATAAACTCTACACAAAATTATCATGGCCAAGTTCTTCAGTCACAGTGTGACTTTAGTGCTAATTGAGATCATTACATCTCAAATTACAGTTTCATGATGTATATTTAAGCAAAAATCAGGGTATGTCACCTCTTTATGAGAGGGCCACTTGAGTCACACACAACCACACCATTAAATGTTTGCTGATTTTTTAATTTGTTTGACTTACTTTCTGCCTCTGGTCGAGTTATAACTCCCTCCATATTTCTTCCGATTAAGGATGAGAGCAGCAATTTCTGGCACGTAGCGAGCAAACATGGCCTACATGCATGAAAAAGAAAAAGAAAAGGGCATGCAAAGAAGGTTCTACTGCGTTGGAGGCAGTAGAGCCTCCTTGAATACTTACTTTCTCCCATTAACAGCACTATAGGAACCACCATATTTCTTGCGGTTTCCTATTAACTCTATGATTTCAGGGACGTAGCTCGCAAACATGGCCTAAGGAGAAGATAGGAGACAGAAGAAGAGACTAAAAAAAAGAAAGGCAAAGAAGAGCAGGTCCTCTATTTTTACTTTAAAGTAATAAATAAAGACTAACACTACTGTAAGTGCAGGAGTTGTATTAATATTAATTTGTTAACAGGAAAAAAGGAGAAAGAAAATAAAAAAGTTGCACTTTATTCATATTAGTCAATATTGACTGAATGCAGCCTGAAGTTATATCTCAGTTACATTCCATCAAGAAGTAGTATGAAAATGAAATAGGAAATTATAAGGCCAATATTTACGGATATTGGAAGAGTAAAGGAGAAAAATGACAGCTGATGAGTGGTATGTCAATCTGTGATAGAAAAATAAAAAATTAGAAAACTTAAGAAAAAGCCTTATGTGCCATGTTTCGTCCAACAAACACACATGACGGGTTTATTTGGGTAGCGCAGCCAAATGGATGGCAGACATTAACTTAACTTGGAGATTCTACTGCACAGAGACGTGAATAACTCAGCTGACCCCTATTTATGTGACAGTTTGAGGACTTTAATTCAAAATGCCACAATATATTGGTTTGTTATTGCTATTTTATAAACTAAGAATTGTTGTTTCACAGATCTTACAAGAGAGCAATATAAACACTTGCATCTTTTCATTATAGTTATAATTAGCATGTTTTCATAGATAATGTAAAATTTTACCAACTGACACATGTGTAAGTGTTTGCTTGTTGCGTACGAGTTTCTGAGCAAAGGATTATCCTGTTTTAGTTCATTTAGAAGGTATTATAGAAGATTTGCAAAACCCATCATGAAAATAAAATAATCTGTACTAATAAAACATTAACAAAAAAGTACATTTAACCCTTGAACATCCATTTTCCATTAATTTCCCCTTTAAGCCTCTAAGTTTGGAAACATCATCTTATTCCAAGAGTTCTGACAGCATCACCTATATTTTGTATCATTCAGCTCTTCATTTAAGATGTATGTTTACAGTGAGTGACATAATCAAACCCAAGACTCCAGATGATTTAGAGATGCATTGTTCCATCAGATGGAAATAGTCATGTCTTTATCTTCCTTTTAAACACAGTTCCCCCTAAATTTAGGCTGACATATTTAGTATCTCTCCACTCAGATTTTAAATGTAACACTGTGGGTTTGAGCAATGTTTGATTACACACCATGACATTGTACTGACTGTCAGATTTAAAGAGTTCAATCTGTCCTTGCCCCAAAGATAATGTAAGATTAATTTGAGTCTGATAATTCAAGAATGTTTTGGATTGCAAATGTATTTTGATTTCATTTAAGCTTTTCAAGGACATATACATGTCACCTAAACCTCTTTTATACTTAACTCTTTTACTATATTACAGTATGTCACTGTACTGTTTAATCCAATCCTGAATAACAGCGTCCTCTAAATGATCTTTGGCTACTTTCTTTAACAGGTAACTCAGGTCTGTAGCAAAAAAAGTAGCTTTCTGTGGGATATAGGATTTAATATTATTATGATTTTCATTTTCATTCCCTTTTCATTCTCAGAATATTTGTGCAGAAACTGAGATAATGTCGCTACATCCATCGAGCTGGGCTATAATAAATGATCCCGGTCTCATTGTGTTTGTTGGAAAGAGGGAGGGGAGGTGGGAGGGTGGAACCACCTGAAACCCTGGTACTTTTACAGTTAATAACAGTCACAAAAGTTCTCAAATATTCTACATTATATAGGAATTTATAAATAACAGGACTTCAGCATTTTACCTGAAGAAATGCTGCAATACTGTAGATCACACGTACAATACATGACATGCATTACACCTCAGTGTAAACAACAGGTGAAGGGCGTCCTGAGTTGAGCGCGTCCTGGCGTTTGTTAATACCTGGCGGGGTGTGATGATTGGTTGCATGGAGGATTTTAAGCAGGAATAAGTAATAGGGATTTTTACCAAACCACCAAGGATGAAGAAGACCATAAACAGGCGGCCCAGGGTGGTTTTTGCATAAACGTCTCCATAGCCAACAGTGGACATAGTAACCATGAGTAAGTAGACACATTCCCAGTAAGAAAGTGCCTGGGAATTTTGGAAGTTTTCCCAAGGATCCCCTGAGTTTTCCACCTGGAACAGAGGTGGAAATTTTTACAACAATCACAGTATGTACTAATAATGTTGCTATACCAACATGCTTTCACCTCAACTTAAACGCCTCCCACTAACTTACCAAATGAATGAAGCCTGCTGCAGTTAGCCATGTGCTTATGAAGATTGAACAAAGGTTCACCAGCTTTATTGAGTTGCTATTTAAAAAAAAGCCAGACAACAAAGTTTGAGTTATTAAGGATTAGTTATTACACTGGCTGGATTGGAAGATACATGCTCTGAAATGCATTATTCAGCTCTCATATTGCGTCATAATGTAAGAGAGTGGTACTATTGTGCAAAGGAGCGACACAGACGAACTAATAAAAATTATATACTGAATTACTGATCTATTAACTCTGAGTGCGATTCGACAAAAGCATAATAACATGCACAAATTCTGTAGTCCTTAAAGCCACTGCATTTAATTCAGTTGAAATATGAATGGAATTAAAGAGCTTACATTGAATAATAAAAAAAGATATAGTAACAAATGGCTTTATTAATTATTTAAACATGCATGACCACAGGTTCGCACTAAATTTCCATTCAGTTAACACAAACAAATATATTTTCATTACATGCAATTAAAACAAATAAATAATGTAAATATCAACACATGCATTTTTTTTAGCAAAGGCCTTCCTCACTATGGATGTAGGGCTTACAGGTGCGGCGATCTTTAAATAATACATTATGTGTCTTGTTGTGTAAAAGTCCCTGCATGACCTCTGTTCTTCTTCTACATTGTGTGTTCTGTCTTGACCTTCATCTGAGTGAATGAGTGTGGAGATTATTCTAAAGCATTTTGTTGCAACTATAAGCTCCTACTGACATGACATCTGTGCAAAAAGCTTTAATTCTAAGCAGCACATAGACTAACAGAAACCTGTTTTGTAGTAGTGTACCCACTGTGCATAATACAGCACATTACTAACTGCAGCCCTGTGGAGTTAACTTAATATTAACTTGATATTAATGTTTATCAAATTAAATGAAAGCATGTGCTCGTGCTAGTTTTGCTTCAAACAAAACATTTAAAAAAAGCTCCCCTTCAAAATAAAACCATATTCATGCTTATAGCTACAAAATAAATCACTCTACATGCAATGTTCACACATAAACAGGTGAAAAAACATCACAGCCTACTACATTGACAAAAAGTGAGACAAAATACGAATACACTTACCTTGTCTTTAGTATATTCAAAAACTGTAAAATTTCTGAGAACTGTATCAACCTTAAGGCCCTTAAAAATCTCAAGCCTGTGAGAAAAAAAGACCATAAGCAAATTACCAGAGATGATTAATAACAAATGAAAAAACATCAATAACAATTGACTGTAGTTTAACAAGAACATGGTACCTTTCATACTTTCATCCATGTTTATCAACTTAGTTGGACTCATATTCATAAAAAAATAAACTCCGGCTGAAGCGATACTAAGCCTTACTGTATCAGAGAAGAAACTTTTTGAAATATGTGAGGAAAAAATTAAATCAAGCTCATCATCCCAGATATCTATCTCTTCACCAACTCACATAACTCTGTTTTAAACTCAGCAGCCTCGCAAAGCACCGACATCTACACGATACATGTTTCCATCCTGCTGGATAAAAAAAAACTGGATTAGAGTAAAGACAGGTGGACACTGTCACGCCACATTGATTGAGTAAACAGACGTGACGTCAAATCCTAAATTTGAAGGTATTTATGGGAAGAAAAAAATTTTGCCTGTGCCTTTTGCCAAGAGTTCAAGGATGGCATAACACCAACAGAATCAGCAGTGAAACCAGCCTGAGCTGCTGCACGTGATTACTGACTGACTGTTTCATATAATCATGTAAGCCACATCCATACATTATCACAGAGTCATTGGAACCAGTTTACTGCTCTTTCTGTCCAAAGACAGATGATCAACACAGAAACCAGTCTCCTACAAAAGCACATCCGATAAAACAAAGTAACACATATTTTACTGTTTGAATTTCGTGATTTAAGTGCATTGCAGTAAACTACCAGCTAAAGGAACCTCCCACCTGAGTTTAAAAGCCAAATGATTCATCGATCCAACTCAGTTTGAGAAAAAGCAGAATCCACTGCAGTGTCGGTGCTGCATAAACAATTAAAAGCCACCCCAGCCAAGAGTGAGCAATCAAGTAAAATCCATCTCTGCATGCATTAACCGGGCTGACACAGATTTGTTTGAATGCCAAACGACACAAATCAAAGATGTTACAGGCAATCATTCAGCTAGAAGAATATAAATAATCTTTTATAAAATGACGTGGACCGCGGTGTGCCTTGCCAAAGCTCATTTCTCATTTCAAATGAGTGTTTGCCAGATGGGGAGCATAATACAGAGCAAATCCTAAACCTGAACCTGCTCCAGCTGACACACAGAGTCCAAAAACTACTGGGCGCGCCAGCCTTCAGCTTTAATGGAGATTCCCCTCGTTCCCACGTCCTACAGTTCTTACCCCAGTATGAGATTACATGGAAGCATGCACCGAGGCTGTACCAGATACTGTCCTGGTCTTCTTTCTCGCTGACTTGCCCGTGGCCCATCCTGACCCTGTAGCCATTCTGGAAGAGCTCCCCAGTCGATTTCTTGCGCCTTCTAGTGTTAGAAACCGTCTGAGTGTGTGTGCCTCCATCGGGCCCCCTGTACACTAACATCTTAGTGGGAATCATGTCTTGAAATTACTGTTGGTAGGCAAAAAATGTCAAGTCCAAAATCTGCTTCACGTCCACGTCTAAGCTATTCTGCGTTCCCCATGAAAGACATCATGTAGAAAAAATTTAATCCTTCTCCAAAAAGAGACAGAAAAAGTGATCAGGTGCATTCATGATAGTAGCAGCCAACAGGTTAGCGTCAAAAAGGACTCTTGTTTTTTAACCTCAGACCTTCCTAGTATCCTCGTTGTGATGAGGCGTGTTCCGCAAGCTTAAAGCAAACCCTTTTCCCATCAGGATATTAGACTGTAAGCTCCTTTAGGATTCATCCAGGAAAAGGAAGAGGCCAGACAGCGAGTCTGTCATTCAGCTGTTGGGCTTCACAATGTAACCTACATCTCATCCCTATAACCCTGCAACTGCTCTTGACAAACCGTATTCCATTCTCTAATCTTGGGCATAACCAGTGTTTGTCTTGTTAAAAGCAGAAAACAAGTCATGTAAAGCTGTGCATGGAAAAAAAAGAAGCTTTGGCAATAATTGTGCTTTTTTATGGATTTAGTGATTCTACAATAATCCCTAAATTAATCACAACTGATGTAATAACTGCTATTGTTGTTGTTAAAACTAAATGCGCAGCATAAAAATGTCACTGCGTGGCGAGGAAGTACAGCAGCTGACAGAAATCTAAGTCTGCAAAGTCCATTTAATCTGAAATGTGAAATAAATTTTGAAATATGTGTCACTGTTGTTGTCAGCAAAATACCATGTATGCCCTAAATCATTTCAGTACCAACAATGAGGAGTTTACATGTTCTTTAGAGTAGTGGCTCCAAAACCTCGCCATTTTAAATTATGCTTGCAAACTTCTTCTCAAAAGTCTATAAACTGAAAGTAATTCAACCAAAAGTATTTTTTTTCCTCCTTAGATTGATTGAAAGTATGAAAAAATAAACATAATCTCGTGTCTCAGAATTTTAGTGCTTTACTTCACAGGATAAGTAGGACATATTAACTGATATGTGACTGTAAATTCATCTGAAGGCTTATGGAGATGCCTATGAAATGTTAATTAATTACAGGGAAAATTGTTTGAACCAGTACCTAACTGGAACATTTCCATTTAGGTAATGGTTTCAGTGAATTGCTGGCACAACCTAGAGCTGACAAAAAAACTGTTTCCTTTTCCATTATTCATCCAGCTGCAAAATGTGACTGCCACCAAGACATGGATATCTTAAATTGAAGAGTAATGTTATGTGTACCTTATAATATTTGGTAGAGTTGCACTGGATTGTTTTCACTTACAGCAACAAATGTACTGCTTGCCATGCGTCAATGAGCACGTTAGTGTGAGAGACTATTAGGGCATGCAATGTGCATATTTGTGTCAAAATGTTCAGACTGGAGGATTGGCAGATTGGCGGAGCGCCCAGTTGGAATACGGAGTTTTGATCAGAAGAGAGAGTGTGACAGCTGCGACCGGATGATGCTGAGCTGGTTATGACCTCCCCACCTGTTTAACCTCAGTTTAACAAAAAAATAGTAAATCAGTCACTAATCCTATATAACCAATTGCTCACTGACCATATTGATGGAGATTATGTCTTTTTCCATGGAATCAGCTCTACAAACGACAGGAATTGTCAGTATGTTTTTCATGCTTCACATTAATTTGAATCACAAAAATCTTTTTTAATCAGTAAGTTGGGTACAGATGTTTATACAATACAAAAGTCAGCCTGTATTTGGTCAGCTATGTGCATGCATGCTTGTATATTTGCTGTTCGGAGTCTGACAGGAACTGTTGCATTTCGGTTTGTGTGAAATTCAGTAAACAGTTTACATGAGCAGTGAGAGGCAATGCGTGGCACAGCAGACAACAAAAAGAGCAACACCTACCCAAACGGTAACAACAGAACAACAGGATGGTACAGTAACAGCAGGGTTGCAGTGATGCACACACTGTTTGACTAAGTAATGTTGGAAAATGCAGCCAAAACAATAATTAGCACTTAACTTAACAACAAGATTTAAAAACAAATCTCACAGGCTACCACTTTAAGAGCAAGATTTAGATTTTAGAGGTAGGTTTCTAAAAATCATACTGTTACTGATACTAAAATAACTGATGGGTGGGTAGATTATTTTGAGTGAACTCCATCCTCCATCATATCATATCTGTGACAACTTTTTCAGCAAACAACACATACAGGTGCTGGTCATATAATTAGAATATCATCAAAAAGTTGATTTCTTTCAGTAATTCCATTCAAAAAGTGAAACTTGTATAATGTATACATTCATTCCACACAGACTGATATATTTCAAGAGTTTATTCCTGTTAATTTAGATGATTATAACTGACAACTAATGAAAACCCCAAAATCAGTATCTCAGAAAATTAGAATATTGTGAAAAGGTTCAATATTGAAGACACCTGGTGCTACACTCTAATCAGCTAATTAACTCAAAACACCTGCAAAGGCCTTTAAATGGTCTCTCAGTCTAGTTCTGTAGGCTACACAATCATGGGGAAGACTGCTGACTTGTCAGCTGTCCATAAGACGACCATTGACACCTTGCACAAGGAGGGCAAGACACAAAATGTCATTGCTAAAGAGGCTGGCTGTTCACAGAGCTCTGTGTCCAAGCACATTAATAGAGAGGCGAAGGGAAAGAAAAGATGTGGCAGAAAAAAGTGTACAAGCAATAGGGATAACCGCACCCTGGAGAGGATTGTGAAACAAAACCCATTCAAAAATGTGGAGGAGATTCACAAAGAGTGGACTGCAGCTGGAGTCAGTGCTTCAAGAACCACCACGCACAGACGTATGCAAGACATGGGTTTCAGCTGTCGCATTCCTTGTGTCAAGCCACTCTTGAACAAGACACAGCGTCAGAAGCGTCTCGCCTGGGCTAAAGACAAAAAGGACTGGACTGCTGCTGGTGTTGGTCCACTGTGTTTTCTGAGGTACAAGGTCAACGCAGCTGTCTACCAGGAAATTTTAGAGCACTTCATGCTTCCTGCTGCTGACCAACTTTATGGAGATGCAGATTTCATTTTCCAACAGGACTTGGCACCTGCACACAGTGCCAAAGCTACCAGTACCTGGTTTAAGGACCATGGTATCCCTGTTCTTAATTGGCCAGCAAACTCGCCTGACCTTAACCCTATAGAAAATCTATGGGGTATTGTGAAGAGGAAGATGCGATACGCCAGACCCAACAGTGCAGAAGAGCTGAAGGCCACTATCAGAGCAACCTGGGCTCTCATAACACCTGAGCAGTGCCACAGACTGATCGACTCCATGCCACGCCGCATTGCTGCAGTAATTCAGGCAAAAGGAGCCCCAACTAAGTATTGAGTGCTGTACATGCTCATACTTTTCATGTTCATACTTTTCAGTTGGCCAACATTTCAAAAAATTGGTCTTAAGTAATATTCAAATTTTTGGAGATACTGAATTTGGGATTTTCATTAGTTGTCAGTTTTAATCATCACAATTAAATGAAATAAACATTTGAAATATATCAGTCTGTGTGTAATGAATGAATATAATATCCAAGTTTCACTTTTTGAATGGAATTACTGAAATAAATCATCAACTTTTTGATGATATTCTAATTATATGACCAGCACCTATACACATTGGTGTCATGGTCAATTTATATTGCTGTTATCATTTGTTCAGTATGTGACTGCAGGAGAGGAGGGGTCTGGGGGAATACTTTGTGATTTTGCTTTCAAACTACAGCATGGTATCTGAAGTGAAGGATGGGCTTTAGCAGAAAAGAAATAAAAGCAGCCCGTCCTCACCCAGAAAAAGAAAACATACATCGATAGTTAAAGGGGTTAATACGTCCAAATTTTACATTATGAGTGGCCTCTTGCAGCCGTGTGACAAAGTGCATGTGAAAGTGAAAGGCAGTAGGTAGGGTGGACAGCCTTCACCGAGGAGACCGGAGATCAGTTCCCGCGTGAAACCAAAAGCCAACATCAGTTTTTGTTTTTTTGTAGTATTATTAGCGTTAGCTAGCCAGTGTTAGCAATGTGTGTTTTTTGGGGATTTGTAGTTTTTTTTAGTGTTTTAGGTAGCGTTTCATGTAGCCTCGCAGTTTTTTGTAGCATTAGGTACCTTTAGCTAACTATAATTACTCATTTCAGCTGACGCTTTTATCCAAAGCAACTTACAACTGCTATATGTCAGAGGTCGCACGCCTCTGGAGTAACTAGATGTGTGTTTTGCTTAATGGGAATTAAACCCGGGTCTCCCACACCAGAGGCATGTGTCTTAATGCGCCATTGCCACCGTGCGAATCAGTGTGCTATATATGCCTATGAAGATTCTCAGTCATCCAGGTCATAGTTATCCAACAAAGGTTAAAATCAAGGGCAACTGGACTCGGTTGGAGATACTGGAAGACGTTTCGTCCCTCATCCAAAGGACTTCTTCAGTTCTGACTGACTGGCAGGGAAACTCAGCTATTTAACCTCAGTGGGGTCGTTGGCCCGGGTCATCGATACCGCTGGTTCGTTAGTGTTCCTTGTTTCATCACTTCCCAGGAAACTCAACAAACGTAACCTATTGGCCTCAGGTGAAGATACCAACGATGGTCGTTCAGTCTTGGCCACAGGTAGTCTTAACGACTGTAACGACTGTCGTCACAGCAACAAGGAACACTAACGAACCAGCGGTATCGACCCCACTGAGGTTAAATAGCTGAGTTTCCCTGCCAGTCAGTCAGAACTGAAGAAGTCCTTTGGATGAGGGACGAAACGTCTTCCAGTATCTTCAACCAAGTCCAGTTGCCCTTGATTTTAACCTTCGTTGGATAGTGTGCTATATAGTTTTATGGATTAAACGAACCATTGATGCAAAGAACCATCGATGTAGCATTGCGTCAATGCTTTTTAGTAATCAATTTAATTGTTGAATCGTTTCAGCCCTAGCCACCACCAAATATGTCACTGTTAAAGGCATTGACAGTCCCCCGAAGCCCCTTACCCTAACCTTAAACATCACGTCTAAACCATTATTGTATGCAAGTCGACCGGTTAACCCTGCAGCTGAGGGTTAACATCCTTGTGTTGCAATGGGGAACAGAACGGTCATATATGTTGTTTTGGAGAAAATGCTCCTACAGGTCATTTTGGAGTGAATAAAAGCAATGCATGCAAGTGATTAAAAAAACAAAAAAGCACACATTTTGAAATTTGGCACATAAAGTAGCCACAAGAAAACGTATCACAGATGACCTAATTACAAATCTGAGGGCAGTGAGTTGGAGATAAAATAATAAAAAAAACAATTAATTTAAGATTGAATATAAGCACTATAGTATAATCAGTATAATGCAACTAACAATGATGAAGGACACTATACTATACTGTCCAAAACTACAACATGCATGATGAAATCATGAGAATTCTGTGAAAGAAAGGTTCATCACCTCAAATCCCAGCCATACTCTCACATGTCCACTAGATGGCCTTAGCAGCCAGCACTAGCTTGTTCTACTTTTATCGTTTTCACACCAGAAGTCACAGTGCATTAGTCCAGGGAAAACACACAGGCACATTATGCAACTGCACCTATTCAAGCTGTCATACTGACTCTAATGTAGAGCGTGTTCATTGCTGAGAGAGGTGCTAGTGTTGACTGCACTGCAGGTTTGTTTCTCAGCTGACGAAAAAGCAGCTATAAAAACCTCTAATGCAGAAAAAACAAAAAACAAAGATCCCCCTTAATCCTCTAATTCCTCACAGACCTCTCCGAGTGATGAGCTTCACACATTTAGCAGATTGACTTCTATTCTATCGCTCGAGCACCAAGCAAAGCTTATTACTTTTTTTATCCATTTGTGTACTTTTCAATCACCGCATGATTTAATTCGAGTGTTATTGGAGGTGATGCTGGAAAGCTCTGCTGGACAAGTGAAAGGCAAGTGAATGACACCTGCAGCACAATGCCGACTTCCCACAACACATGGCCAAACACATGGAACCAATAGAAAATTACATTTCTATTCAAATAAACTTGCATTAAGGCAAGTTTGAATGGCACACCAGATGACAGCCATACAATATTTGATAGAGTTGTCATGCAAACAAGCATTAGACAAGTAAAGCTTGGGTCAGCGTGCTTTTCAGTTTTCATGCTCTGGTGAAGTAGAGTTTTTCATTTCCACAGTAATAGTGAGGATTTGAACTTGTCATGCATATCATGCAAGGTCCCAAAATGAAGTTAATTACATGACAAAACTACCAAACTTATATGGCTAATATTGAAGGTGTGCCCACGTAAATAACCACAAAATACCAAGACATTCCCACATTGCAGCTTTAGTGACGTGCTGACATTATCTGGTATGTTCACTGGCCACTGCTAGACCTGTGAAATCCACTGGGTGGCACCACAGGCTCCTCAACACAAGCCCAAAGAGCAACTGCACACTGCCTGTGCTCTGTTAAATCAGCCTGTGTGAGCATCCTTACCGAGCCAGCTCCTGTTCAGGTACACCGAAACAAACACCGGAGGGACCGTGAAGAAGTCCACCACTGAGTTCACCTCCAACCAGAACCACAGCTTGTCATTGGCAGCAATAAACTGTGGAAATAAAGAGTTAAAGATGAGATCACAGTTATAGGGTACACAAGAGTGCAAATTATTTCCGTAAATGTTTTTAATGTAGGCAACTTCAATTGTCCTTACACGGAGGCCGAAGTACAGCAAGAAGAACACGTTGAACGCCATGTCGATCTGCAACGTTAAGTCTTTGTAGAAGTTCTGACAGGACTCGATAGGACTATCAGACAGAGGGAGAAATTATGTATGTTAATGTCTTACAAATATTGACAGTCGAGTGAAGAAAGATATCTACAGTATTTCATGAAAAAAAATATTTAAATAAAAGTTGCATTCTTCTTTTCCTGAAAATGCATTTTTTAAGATTTCCAAAAGAAGAGGAACTTAAGTGTTGAAAAAAAGTGCAATAGTTGGTATTTTCCAATGTTTTTTTCTGTTGAGAAAGAACATGCATTTATTGTCACACAAGCAATAACTTGAGATACCTGATTAACCCTTAAATAACTGCAATGTTCCAGGTGCAGTATTACACAATGAAAATGATGCTGTCTTTCCTTTCGTGCCTGCATTTCTGATCTCATAGACAACATTTCAGGTAAATATTAAGTCAAACATGATGAAAATGCAGAGCCAAGGCAGTCGTTTAAGGGTTAAAAGCATGCAGGGTTCATGTCTTCTTTTATGAAATCAGGCAGCCATAGCAAATGCTAGCAATGTAGTGAAGTCTCACCCTCAAAAAGCTTGTATCTGGCACAAAGAATTCAAATAAAGAGAAATAAATAACCAAGTGAATGTGACTGTAATAGGTTAGTAGGATTAGGTAATAAAAATGATGACCTGGAAGAAAAAATATATCCTTTCAAAATATTAAGCACACCTAAAATAAAAACACAGGTTCAATGTGTTAGTGCTGAAAAAAGTAGTTGTTTGACATAAAAGTAATGTACAACAATTTTGATATTTGATTAACTGTTTTATGTCAATTATTAAACCACAACATTTGCTGTTTTCAGCTTCTCAAATGTGAGGATTTATTAAACTAAATATCTTTGGGTTTTGGACTGTTGGTCTTCAAGCTATTTGAAGATGTCACCTTTGAGGCTCTGGGAACTTGTTTTTCACTTATTTTTTTTAAATGATAAAACAGAAAAAATAATCTATAGATTAATTGATAATGAAAATAATCATTAGTTGCAGTTATAGCAGTGGTTCTCAACCTGAGGGTCAGTATCCCATAAAGGGGTCACAAGGAAAGTGAGATGATTAACTAAACATATATACAGCATATTTCTGCATAAATACAAACACAAAACTGTAATTTTACTTTGTTTTATTTTTTTCTGTAAAAAAAAAAACATCATTTAAAAAAGTTAGACTTTGCTCTAATTTTGACTTTTTCGTGTGAATTACAGGATCATTTTACCATCAGTCCTCTAAAAATTACACAGATAAATGAATCTGAGAAAGAAAAATGACTTTGACTAAGCCTTCAAGATTCGTGTACATATGTGACTTTTGCATGAGCGGCTGCAAATAGATATTGCTTAGTTTTAAAGGACAACCGGATGAAAAGCACATGTTATTGTGAATCATGCTGATTTTTATTCCTTTCTTCTCTGCAGCATGTTAGTGCCAAGCAGGTCCCTCTCATACATTAAGTTAGTTTATTTTCATGCCTCTTTGTTAGTCTTCTACCTGCAGGATCCCTACGCTCACATTCAAAAGCTTCACCAATGCACACCTCAATAGCAACAATCTCCCCTGTGCAGTTTAATACCACTCGGCTTAAAGCAAATTGCTTTTGTTATGTAAAAGAAATCTAATAAACTCTGTTTGATAAAACACTGTCCCCATAGAGTTCATGAGGTGACACTGAAATACCCCGGGGATTATTTTAAACCAATCTGATGCACAGTAGTAACAACAGTGATGAGGAAGACTCGAACTATCCTCATATTTCTAACAAGGCACCTATAAGAATAGTCCTAACGCGCGGGATAATTCTGCCCTTGTTTGCTATAACGACACATCATTCCGGCAAATCCCTGTCATAACAGGGTGACAGACCATATAGTAGAGGCAGACCTGCTGTGCTAAATAATTGAGTTCCAGTACACCTGGTTTGGAAGAGGACTTAGCCTGTTATGGATCACAAACCCTCCCTGTCCACAGCAGTTCTATTCTCCCTCCCTCCCATTATTCAATTCAGACTCAGGCCCCATCTACACTACATCTATCTTAAAAACAGTGTTTCAAAACAAATACGATCTCCATCCACACCAGCATTTTAGCGATGTACGAGACTTGATCGTCTTTAAAACGACTGAAAACGCACATCGAGTGGCCGTTCACATACACTGGGCATGCGCATGCCAGTGTAAACATGAATATGATTTGGCGAAAGAATAAAGAAATACAGGCAAAGAACCACACCAGATTTTATTTTGCATGGACCAAACCTGAGCTGGCACTGTTACTGAATGTAACTTGTTAAAAGCAGCTGTGTAAAACAGACTCGGAGTTGTCACAAAGTAAATACGGCGACATACACAGTACAAGTGTAGGCTATAAGTGTTATTTGCACAGTACAAAATATTTTAATAAAAATACCTGATCAAAAACTCTGTCAGTAGCATTGTGTTTCTGCTTTGCATGACTTAGACCCAATCAGAGAGCCAAACGTGAGTGTCTGCGTCATCGTTTCTAAAGTCCTCCGTTTTTGCTCGTCCACACTAAAATGCTCGCCAGAGTTTCAAAACGAAAAACGGGGTCAGCAGCTAAAAGAGAGTTTGTCAGAAGTTAGTGGAGACTAAAACAGAGCTAAAAGGTGAGTTACTAATGGACTTACATTTACCAGGTGGACAGAAACAAAACTTCCAAAGAATGCTAATGTTGCTCACTGTCAAGGAAACTCTTTGATAACATTTAGCCATAACAGCTTTGTGTTTACAGCTCGCTGTGCTGCTCTTAAGTGGCCAGAAAATCAGATAATACAAGTTTAAATTAGGTTATTAAAGAATTTTGACCAAGATGTGCGCTGAGCAGGGAATTTCACAGTTGAATAACAAACTTGCTAGAACAAACCACAGGCGCATCTAAATAAAATTAGGGGAAACCAGCTGCACATGTAAGTCTGGTCATCCATCAAACTTTGCCAAATTAAATTCTTGTAAAAGTATGAATTATCACGTATATCCTACTAGTTACAGAAAATGTGTGGTGTGCAGCTCAAACATTTTTATTCTTCCCCCCAAATCTTTTTAAATGCACCTGTAGGTCTGTCATAAGGTAACTTTAAGACATAACTTTAAGACAATTATACATATGCCAGGCTGCAGGTTTAACTGCTTGTTGTGGAGTTTTTCTGCCCCCCAGAGGCCAAATAAATCAATGAATGAAACTTGTTTGGCATCCAGTATTGATGTTTGACACCAAGCTCTACTTTAACATTGATGACAACAAAGAACAGCGTGGCACTCTCCATGTTCATCTTGACTTACACATGACGTGGGACTATTGAAGCATAGGGTGCAAAGGAAGACATGACTACAGCTTTATGAAGTAAAAACCTCCTTTGGAACTTAATCGGCTTCTTCTTCTCTGTGCAGCTGATAGCTTGAGATTTTCTCTATGAACCTAAGTGCGTCTGCTGTGTTGACGCTTCTCTCTGTGTCACTTCCAGCCAGGTCAGCCTGTCCATCATATAATAGCTTCGGCAGCCCCACAGGACTAATTACAGGAAGGGCTGTATCTGTTACAGTCTGCTGCCACATAGAAGCAAGCAAAGGAGCAGCTAACTGACTGCTCCTTGGCTTTAAGTACCGGGTTTGTTGGGTTGACAGGTGGGGGAAAATACTGACTGAATAATAGAAAGACCCAGACAAAGAGCCTCGAAGAATGAATATGAATACCAAATAATTGAACATGTGCTGCAGCACATGTCCTCATTGTGTATTTAACTATTCCCTTTTATTTGCCTGAAAAAGTTGAAGACAGAGATCGCAGGTCATCCTTTATCAAGTGAAAAGGGATCAGGCGTGAGTGCAAACAAGTTCTTAGAACAGCAGGCCACAGATGGCTTTGGTGAAGATGTAACCCAACCTGAGCTTGTCCAGTTAATGAAATGAGATCATGCTCACAAACCACATCAGAGCAAGCCAAGCCCTCAGCTGTAAACAGTCTTATGAAATAACAAATAACCTGAATGCCTGCCTCCAGGATCTTGAGGCAGATTAGATGAGTTTACAGCCCATTCTGTCTTCTCTGCTTTAACATTACTCCCAGCGGAGACTCCCTTTGGGCTTGATAAAAGCTTTTATCCTGGTGTATTTTGCTCTGCTTCTTAATGGCATATCCTGTCCAAACGCCGCCAGGCTGCAGTAACAGTATATTGTTGCATATGGAGCTAAAAGGGTCTTCCGCTTCCTCTAGTTTGATGAGTGATGTTGATTGTTTTGAACAGGAACTTTGGTGCTTTCCGGCCTGTTTGAGGTCTGATCCTTTCATTACAAAGATTAAGCAAATTTTAACTGTGACCACTGGCTCTTTGTCAGCAGATATCGCCAGTAGGCTCAGAGCAGTTTACCTGGAAGGGGATTGGATGAAAACAGCCAGCAAGTAAACGTTCTCAAATACCATATACAGAGCACAAAGCACTCAAGGTTATTAAGGCTAGAACTACAGTATGCACTATATTTTATTTATGACGTATAGGAACCAGCTAATGGCTGAGGTCTCTGAGGCAAATCTAAATCATACATGTCTGAAATACATCCAATTTTGCAATTAACCATTATAATGTTTACAACTGAATCAACATAATTTTACCAGCAGGATTACATTAATTTAGACCAAAATACATACAAACTGACAAGCTAAAGAACTCAGAGACTAGGGAGGGCAGGATGAACACCTTGGGATGAACTTAAGGCCACTTCTCAGTTTCTTGATTTCTCAGTTTCACTGATCCATCCTTCTTCAGACCTGTTCTGGTTGGTTCAGTCACTATGAGGATACATTCCCATGATGGCAGCGTCAACATTTATCTGATCTTATGGTCAAATTATAAAACTAGCCTTTGAAAGTAGTCTACCTATCATTACAAATATTCTGCAGTGGAACAGGTTAAAACAGGGTTAACTGTGACCTATATGTCAAAGCGGAATCAACGGTGACGTTAAAACAAATACTTACTCAGAGGAATCTATGAAGTATATAACAAGGGCTCCAATGCTGAGAGCAAATACGAGCACCACCTGGGGAAAAAAATAAAAAATAAAAAAGTTACAATTTTACACATGTCACTTTCTACTTCTAAATCATCCTAAATATACTTTTACACAAAAACTAGTTTAGAGCTAGACAGTAGATGTTTATAGGAAATGGGAAAAGTAGGACACCAGCTTTATGCATCTGACCCATTTGGCTGGAAACACTCCATTTGTTCTAATATTTAAAATGATTTGTGGGATGTGGAGTTACCAAAGAACAAATTTCTAAAAAAGCATTTAACTTTTGATGATGATATCAGTTTGAAGTGCACTTTTCAAAACCAAGTTACAGAGTGCAATAAAAAAACAAACAGATCAGCGTGACATACAAAAAAATTCAGCAAATAAAAGCTTCTCCAGTGTGAGAATTTTGTGCTACTTTTCTATGATTTGTACAATTGTAAATTCATTATCTTCAATCATTTGAAGAAGTCAACTTGGGCTCTGGAAAATGTTTCACTATTTTCTGACATTTTATGGACTAATCAATGAATCAATTACTTGACAAAATATTTAGCAGATATATCAATACTGAAAAAAATTGTTAGTTTTAGCTCTACATCTTTTATTCAACTTATTTTCTCAGACATATAAACTATTAGGCAACCTCAAACTTAATGTGATCAGAGGAGCAAATGCAATGAAATTACATGAATGTGTTTCAAGGTGTGTGGTAAAATGTTTTATCCCCATTAGTGAGCCCTGACAAACCTTGATACATCTTGTAAGCCTGCTATAATTGTGTTATATAAACCAGAAAGAAAGAGTCACAATTTAGAGCAGCAGTGTCACAAACAAACTCATCAGTTACTGTACATATGACAGTGTAAATAAATAATCAAGAGCCCGGCTTATCAAATTGGCAGTGGAAGAGTGGGCGAGGTGACAGAATGTGGCTTCAGCTTTCACAGACACAAACAAGTAAGGATGCAGCAGCAGGGCCCCGAAGCTTCGGCGGCCACAGCGGAGCAGCATGACAATAAAAACCAGGGTACTGTTTTTACTCTGTCACTCTGCCTTTCTGCAAGGGGGGAGCCTATGGTGAATAAACCGAAGCCTGGAGCAGTTCGGAGCAGTCTAGAAGGCAGTTTTCAGTTTAATCAACATGAGATTCAGGTGTGTTAGCGAACAAAGCAAGAGTTGTCAGGTGTCAGCTCTGACACTGATCAAGCTTAGGTAAAACCTGATGCGAATACCACAGGAAATCAGACTAAACTATAAACACAAATAGTTGCATAGCATAAATAGCATATCTAGATATTTAGAGGTTCAACAGAGCTCAAGGTGACCACTATCATTTTGATCAATGTTACCTGTAGGGAAAAAGAAACCCTGTGTTGTCACATGATACAACACTATGGTCACAGAGAATCACACAGTAAGTGACTGCTGTCATGTTGTGTTTGTCTAACCAGAGACGAAGATAGAAGATTATCAGAAATGGAGGGCAGAGGACAAAATCTGTGTTATCTAACTAGCGAATACTTATAACAAAGCAGGCCTAAAAGCACCTAAACTACAACATAGTTCATGAGTTTTGTAACATTATGAGATGCAGCTGTTACAACATAGCATGTTTTCTGCCATTTGGATTAGAAAAGACCTATATTTTTAATTCTTTAAAAAATACTTTTCATGTTACACTATCATGAATTGATATTTAAGAGTCTAAAAGCACAGCAGCTCATTTACGCGGTTGCAAAATTAATGTCCTAATTTCCTTTTTAAAAGTCAGAGCTAATGTAGACGAGGGCTCGACCCAGAGAGACACAGATATGGACAGAAAGGTTTCAGCCAGACAGCAGAACTAATGTTTTACATCCTGAAATACACGACTAGGTTATCTGAGACCCTACCTGGCTTTCTTCTATTTAGAAATGACACAATGGTTACCCTGAACAAGAAGCCAATGGGCATCTATAATGAATGAGCTCAGCAGCCTAATTCATTTCCATGATGAGAAATTGTATTGTCAAACCGCAACCACTGATTGCTCTGTAATGACAAAAAGCACCCGCATACATTTTTAATCACTCTGTCTTCTTTGAAAGCCAGCAAATCTCTTTATGCCTCTGACTATCCCAGTTTAGAAACGGAAAACAATGTTGGTGCAACCCTAGAAATGCTAATGCAACTAGCAGAGGAAGATCAGTGATGGCAGAAAAAACACACAAAGAGGGGGCTATCGTGACCGGATAATGATGTGTCACATCTGTATCTTCAGCCAGCTTCAGCCATTTGTTGGCAGATAGCTCCGCCCACAAGGGGGCACAGTGAGCATGGACTTGCAGGGAGGACCGACCACTACCCTAGTCCCTCTGCATGATGACCCAGAGAGCTGCCAAGACTTTGTACAACTTGCGTTTATTTTTGCCAACATACTCTTGCGCGCTTCTTCACTTGATGCTGTTGCTAATGACAAGATAAGAGGGAGATCACATTACAATAAAAGAAAATGACAAATACTTTATTTGAAATGTTGTAACAAAAATGATGTACCGCCAGGAAGGAAACCACTATTAAGACATCACTGGTAGTGTTTAATAAAAACATTTTTTTTCATGAAACAGGCTATTTTAAACAATTCCCAGTAATTTGAGACAAGCACACATGGGCAATTAAATGCATTAAAAATGTGTATTTAATTACCTTTGAATATTATGAAATATGTATTTTGCTGGGCAAAGAAAATAAGATGTAGTTTGTAACAAAATACTTTAAGAGCTTGTAGTTTTAATAATATTATTATGTTATTTACTATGTTTTTTATTATGTTTTTATTATTATTAACTGGCATACACTGCACATATTCCATTTTCCTTATTCCTCAATTTCTGTAGTAAACAACCAGGCTGCCACATCTGTTCTCAATCAAGAAATCACTTACATATGACCTGCCTGACAAAGTGAAGTAGACCAAAAGATCCTCAAAAGCTAGACATCATGCTGCGATCCAAAGAAATTCAGGACCAAATGAGAAACAGTAATTGAGATTTATCAGTCTGGAAAAGGTTATAAAGCCATTTCTAAAGCTTTGGGACTCCAGCGAACCACAGTGAGAGCCATTATCCGCAAATGGCGAAAACATGGAGTGGCCGGCAGACCGAAATTACCCCAAGAGTGTAGCGACGACTCATCCAAGAGGTCACAAAATACCCCACAACAACATCCAAAGAACTGTAGGCTTCACCTGCCTCAATTAAGGTCAGTGTTCATGACTCCACCATAAGAAAGAGATTGGGCAAAAATGGCCTGCATGGCAGAATTCCAAGACGAACACCACTGCTGAGCAAAAAGTTTTCAGTTTTTCCAGAAAAAAAAAGGGAAAATACTCTGTGGACTGACGAGACAAAAGCTGAACTTTTTAGAAGGTGTGTCCTCCATTACATCTGGTGTAAAAGTAACAGCATTTAAGAAAAGGAACATCATGCCAACAGTAAAATATGGTGGTGGCATTGTGATAGTCTGGGGCGGTTTTGCTGCTTCAGGATATGGAAGACTTGCTGTGGTAAATGGAACCATGAATTCTGCTGTCTAACAAAATGTCCGGCCATCTGTTTGTGACCTCAAGCTGAAGCGCACTTGGGTTCTGCAGCAGGACAATGATCCAAAACACACCAGCAAGTCCACCTCTGAATGGCTTAAGAAAAACAAAACTAAGACTTTGGAGTGGCCTAGTCAAAGTCCTGACCTGAATCCGATTGAGATGTTGTGGCATGACCTTAAAAAAGCGGTTAAGGCTCAAACCCTCCAATGTGGCTGAATTACAACAATTCTACAAAGATGAGTGGGCCACAATTTCCTCCACAGCGCTGTAAGAGACTCATTACCAGTTATCGTAGACGCTTGTTGTTAGTGCTAAGGGTGGCCCAACCAGTTATTAGGTTTAGGGGGCATTCACTTTTTTACACAGGCTGTAGGTTTGGATTTTTTCCCCCCTTGATAATACAAACCTTAATTTAAAAACTGCATTTTCAGTGTGACAAACAAATAAGAAATCAGGAAGGGGCAAATACTGTTTATATATAAGCTAGTCTCCTTTGTGAACACTAGCTTGAGGAAAGAAACTGCTTTGCTGTTTGGCGCATATTTCCCATAAGATAAAGGTATGTAATCAAAATATGATCAGATGCTGCATGCTAAGGCAAGCTTATTGAATGATACTAAAATATTACAGAGGAAAAGAGCAATCAGGCAACACACGTGCTCTTGAAACTGGCAAATGTACTTACTAGCTAGAAACCACCCAGCATGCACCCTTCTCTCTCACCTCCAAGATATTCTGATTGGCCACTTCAAATCTATGATGTGGGAAATTAACAAAGCTCATCTTTTCAATGTAGGGTTTTTGAAGGCAGACCCATTCTGAGGCAACTAAATCAATAAAATGTGATATCAGTTTTATAGAATGTGTTTTTATTATTATTATTATTTTATTATTTTCAAAAGATAAATTACTATTTCAACTATGCACATTTCCTATCCACATTCATTTTGATACATTTGATGAGCAAGTATTTGTAATTTGTAACAAGATGCTTTTTGATGTATTTGTGCCCATGTCTGGAAACAAGTCCAAATAACATCTTGAGTTTGTTAGAGCAAGTCTCTGGTCATTTAAGACAATGTCAGGTCAATTCTCAGGTCTGTCAAAAGCAAGTCTCAAGTCAAGTCACAAAAAATTTTAGACAAGTTCAAGTCATCTAGTCTTTCAGAGCAAGTCTAAAGCAATTTATTATTTGTTCATTTAAAACAAGTCTAAATAATGTAAATAATAAGTTTGTCAGAGCAGGTCCAGAGCCATTTAAGACATTTTCAGGTCAATTCTCAAGTCTGTCAAAGCAAGAATCAAGACAAGTCACACACTGAAGAGTAAACAACTTGCCAGGAACACAATTGTCACGATCACAAAAACTGGGAAATCAGACTGAAAAAAAAAATATAATACTTTTTCTCAGAAATCTTCAACCATAGATGTAAAAATA